TACAACTTGACACTTCGATTGTCTCAAGTTTTTTAGGGTTCCGCATCTACAACACCTAAATGGTGAAAACGGAAATTTGTTAATATTATAAGTAGTTAAGCCTCTTTGAACCATGGGTGCCTCCGATGTCCGTTCTTCCATCTGTCTCGTAGTTGTACCTATTATATCTCACGAACTGTAGGTACTTAATAGGGTAACAAAAATATTAATTTACAATTTAATTGTGTATTAATATTGTCGCTATAACTTCTTATCCATAATATAACAATCACATGCATGTATTCAGTAGTTGTGTTTATAGTTTGTTTTAAATGTACACAGGTAGGAACTTATATTTTTCCTATATGCAACCTAATCATAATCTCTTAAAAACCTCTTCGACGATGTTGTGTGAGCAGTGTTGTCACTTCAGTCTACCTATCTACCACCCTAGACCTAAAAACTACCTATTTTTTTAATAATTTTGACATATCACTACTTTGAATTATTTTTATATCCACGAGCGACGTTGCGATGTGTTGCGTGAGCCATGCGACGACGCGTCAAGCATACATAGAGTCCAGGCCATAAACCACAACAAAAAACGTCAGCAACAGTTCGCCATGAGTTCGCCGTTCGCACCATTTCACGCCCATATTTTACTGTTCTGTGGCCTATTCCCGGTTGGTTTATTGCGGAATCAATGTTGAATCTTTGCTCCTGTTTTATTGTAAAAACTAAATAGAGTCTGTGCGGAAAGAGAATGGGCGTGGCGAAAAACGGAACTAACATTAAGAATTTTATTTAGCAATCAAACCCAGCAATCTGTATAACGTCAAAGTTTTGTATTGATATGGATTTGTTAGTTGTTGTGATTTTTTGCTGTTTTTTTATATTTAATCATGTCTAAAAGGGGTAATACCTTACAAATACGGTAGTAAAGCACTACAGCACCCTCCAATCTAGATCCCATTCTCTTTCCGCACAGACTCTAACTGCGTATTATCGGTGCTGATTGCTGTTTGTTCTATGTTGCGTGCATTTTTATATAATGGATTCTGACAGCAGCGAAAGCGATGCACAGAGTTCTAGGTTAGGAACTCCGTCACGAAAACCTAGAAAAAGGCACTATGACCAAAAATATTCGAAATTATGGGAGAAAGACAAGGAATTTGCAGGTTGGCTTCAAGAAAGTACTAAGGGTGACAGAATTTTTTATTGCAAATCATGTAGGTGTGATCTTAAGTGTGCTCTGCATTGCATTGCATGCATTTTTAACCTTAAAAAATCTTCTAACATGAGGTGGTACACCTACCAATTTTGCATTTTACATTCTACCAACTTCTACCAACATTTGGCACATAATCTACTAATTTGCATTGTGTGTGAGGCGGGGCGTTACGTTCCCCAAAAAATGGTTGAGCGAAGCGATGGTTGGTTCATGCGTCATGCTCGTGAATGAGTGCTGCCAGCGGAGATGAGTCTGCTCTTGCTACATTGAATACTATTTATCGTTAGGTATATTTAACTTTATTTGTGCTTTTTTATGTCTAAATATGTTTAAATTATGTGTTAAATCAGTATTCTTAATGTATAGTCTTAATTTTTATATTATAGTTTTTTATAGTTTACTTCATACACCTTTGGAATTTTTAACGTGGTCCATGTTTGTCTGTATATATGCACGGAATTGTCCACAATTATTTTTTGTTTTCTCTTCTGATCAAGCATAGAAACATGGTCGTATAGGTAGTAATTTATAGTCGCTAAATCCGAATCCATGGTAAGATTTGGCATTGCGGTCCACCCAGGATTTGATATCCAACACCCCGGATTCGCACAACAGTCGCTATTTCATGGTTTTTATTTTTGTAATGGAAAGTGACTTCATGAATTATCTCATAATGAAGTAATTTTTCTATTTAACGAGGCTGTGTATTATTTATTATTCAGCAAAAACAGCCCTTCCTGAGTTTCTTGTCGGTTCTTCTCAATACAAGGTCTCTAGCTTTTCGACATTCACAAGTGCTTGTGACAGCCTAGATTGATTTTATTCCCATCTGCCCACTTCGAGCATGCCACCGGGAATGTGGTTGGTGTCGCGAAAGGCGAAAGAGTTAATTATCTGAAAGTGATGATTGCTATTACTTCATTTTTATCTAAGGCGCTTTAATGTTATTACGCAGTGTTTTCTTTTGTGATATAGGTACCTACTTAGATAGATACATCTCATACTGAAAACGTTAAGGTGCCATTCAAGTTGTGATCCCAGGATAAATGGTATAATTGCTGTAATTCGCAACAGTTGGTAGTAATTAGGTGACGTATACCACTGGTGATCTGCACTGACATCTAGCACAATGGCACCTATTTGTGGTGGGGTTTATTTGCATTTCGGATTGGACATAATCAATGATATTTTTTACCCGTGCGAGAAATGGTTAGAATACACGTCCCAACGGGCCGTAAAGGAGGCTTGTCGTAAGAGTCGACATAAACTTGACCAGTCTGGTGGTAGGGTGTGGTACCCTCCTGGCTAGCGCCCACCCTCTTGCCGAAGCAAGCGGCAAAATACCTAGGTGTGTTCCGGGTGTGCGCTTGAGAGCCAGTTTCATTTTTTTTATAGGGAATAAAGGATGAGAACCATGGATGTCCATACAAGAACCAAGATATTTTTAAATTTTCTTTGCACGAGCTAGTGTTAAGTTTTGTACAATAGTATGCAACTGCTTATGTGCGAGGCTCAATCGATCTAGTAGACTTTTTTATCTACACACAATCTAGAATTTACTTTTGTGATATGAAATGTACCCAAGTATAAACACTTAACAGCAGACCTGTCCATTTCCCTCCAAGTACCTTCCTAGATCAAGCGAGAGTCGAGGTCGTAAAAAGTTTTATTTTTTAAGTGTCTATCCATTAAATCCATATGGCAGAATCAGGGCAGGGTAACTATTCTGACAGTTCGTAATAGTTTTGTATGATTTAGAAACCTCTTTTATCTATTATCTACGTAAAAAGTTCGTGTGGTATTCCTTGCGGAGTTGGCAAAGCTTAGTGCACCATGAGATAGGTACTTAAACCGCTTAAACATAACGTAAGTAAAATTTATTTTGTTGATATATTTTTTGTATTCTCACACACGGAAAGTTTTGGTTCAGTTGGATGTAGCTGTAGATTAGCCCCGATTTCGATTGTTTTAAATAAGGAGCTGGCGGAGAAAACGGTATAATTACATAAAATTAAATTCTACAGTAGCAGTAAAAACTTGGATGACATACCTACAGTGAGCTTTTAGCGTGGTATTTAATTTATTAATTTTAATACTGTTTTAGGCGGTATAGATTGAAATTTGTCAAGTTCAAAAATTCAGCGGCCCCTAAACCTCTGGACCGTAAAAAAAGTATTTTGACCAGATGTTTTGTTCGCTACGCTATTACGCTTTTCTGCCGCATTCACATCAGATAATCGCAACCAGATCATGGATTTTCTAACTTTATCTGTTTTGCTTTCTTATCTTTAACTTTTTCAAAATAATAATCTATTTCCCGCCTATTAAATGGGATGGCTAAAGGGTAAAAAATACAATATTTGACCTCTAACTAGTTAATAGTAGTAATTATGCCGAGCCTTATACTTACGTACAGTCAATATCACATCATATTACTAGCAGTTTCAAATTTTATAACAACTAAATTAAGCTCAGTCAGTTGCATTTTTTTTTACAGTTTCTTGCTAAATTGACATGTTATTGACTTGACTGCATACTTAAGGGCCTTTCAAGTATTACGTAAGCAGATTTATTACAATTATTTACCCCCTCGTCAGAAAAAATAAGCAAAGCTCTTACCCCTCCCCTCATCCTTACGTAAACATTGGTACCTATATGCATTTTTTCTTTAATGTATTCTGTTTTTTTATTGATTCATGAGCTTACATGAGCTGCATGAGCAACAGTACTTAAAAAGGTTTAATCCCTCGATAAGCATCATCATGCTGACGTAATCACCATCTCTACCCCCCACCCCCCATGTCATCAAAAATAAGCAAAGCAAAAACCCCCCTGCCCCCCTATAGTGCTTACGTAATACTTGTACAGCCCCTTAACGCGGCGATAAATTAATCTGAATTTTGGATTTGAAAAAATCTTTTCACCGCATGGCAAAACCCAATATGTGTTTTCAAGTATATATTTTGAAGAATTGAGAACAATTGCATGTGTTGCCGTTCTGGCCGCAGTAGTTAGTTTTCCTAAATGCCCAACCGCTCGCCGCAGCTCACACACTGCTTTTACTATGCAATGAGCGTGCTCGTCGCCGATTTCATTAAATTATGATTTTACAAACACAAATATTGAAATCCTTATATATTTACAGGGTGTAAAAAATCCTATGACAAAGACTAAAACTACTACAGACCCAAATAAGTAATATTACAAAATAATTAAAATACTTTTTTTCCAGTACGCAAAGAATGTGCCTGTATGTATGTGTGGTCGTGTGTGTAAGTGCGTCGATAAAAAAGTTTCTAAATAACGTTTCGAAGATATTAATTTAAAAATCTAAAAAAAAAATGTGACTGACCTTCATATCTCCATAACCATAAATTTCCCAGGTATGGTCCAGAAGAAAAAATCATCGGCATGATGTGGAAAATACGTGGTCTTCGACTTCTTTAAAGGATTTTTTACACCCTAATGATTAAACCAGTTTAAATTTTTACAGTTTGTTTGCATTTGTCCTTGCAAATGCAAACAGCTTTACATTCAGTAAAAACCGCAGCCCGAAAGTTATTCCACTTAAAATGTTTGCTACTTCGAATTAGCAGCCATGATTTGAATTTCACATCCTGGCATTTGAAAGCGATCTAATATAATTATTGCTAAAATATTTATTCGCTGCCAAGTATTTTATTTGTAACAAAATAGTAAGTCACTCTTTCAGTTGTTGTTAGTCGCCCCGACAATAATTTGGCCATAAAAACTGGTACGTACAATTAATCTTTGAGGAATAATAAAACAGTTTAAATTAAGTATAATTTATTTCCTTTTTTCAAATCACCATAAAATGCTGTCAAAAACACGACAGTGGATAGAATTTGAACGGGAAATATCCAATTTATAGTATACCAACGTAATAAGGCAATTTGAATGTTAAATTCCAATCACTGGCGAGTCTGTGGCAGTAAGTACCTACTTAAAACCACTTAAAACCTAATTAGCTCAACACCTTAAAGCCACAAGACCGTGACATCGAGGTGAGAGCACTGGATCAAATAACTTGACCAAATAGACTTTTTCAAAGCCATTCTCTAATAAATATAATAATCGGTCTAACAGTATAACAGTTTCAATCACTTGCGCCAAGCACAGCCTAAGTAAATAAAATAACGCAATTTTCTTCCACTGCGATTCCATATCACTGCAGAATTCTTGTATGGTTTCTCTTGGAAGTGTTTCAAAAAGTTCCAAATTTAGTATTGCGTCCGCCATTTTGAAATACTGCTCGAATGTGTGACATTTGGCGGTAATGCGTTTTAATTTGCCATTGACTAGCGGGAAATCTGGTGAGTGCTTTTTAATTATAACCTGTGAACGAAAAAAAGATCAAATATACCATTCGTGGGGTAATTTGCAGGCTGTTACTGTGAGTGTTATATGCCACCAGAGCATTTGTTTAATGACAATAATGCACAATCAAATAATAAATCTAGTTAAAACATTGTTTAGAAAATTACATAGAATAATAATGATATAAAATTGTATGAATAAAATGTTCTTGTAATTGACACGAAATTTTTGTTAAACAGATTTTATTAATTGTGTATGTTTATCCGTTATTTAGGTGTTAATATTAGAGGCATATTTAGTTTTTGCTAACATATTGCCAATTTTCTTTTCGTATACATTTCAAAACTTTCCTAATGGCATGTGTTCTGAAGAAAGTTGCGAACTGTTCAAATGCTAAATTGACAGATTCATTATCCACTGTAATTTTTCATAGAAGTATAACGCGCGGAGTTGCATTTACGCAGCCGTAACATTAATTCCCACCAGATAAGATATCCTTGGGCAAACAGAAGGACGATCTCGAATGAAATCATTTTTGTTTTTTTTTTTGTTTTTCTGTTCCGGTCGTTCACTTTTTCGTAAATTAATATTTACTAAGTACTACATAAACACAATAAGGAAATTGGAATAATTTATAAGAAAGAAAAGAAACCGTAAACTAAAGAACAAATGTTAAAGAAAACCAAAACAAATGTACCGTAAAAGGTTATATCCACACAACAAGATAATATTAATAGGTACAGAGAAATGTGGTTCTCGATATCGACCAGAATGTGAACAGAATTTAGAACAATCAAAATGGCAACTTCGCGACGAGTAGTCGAAAGAAAAAAGGAAAAATTAGTGACGAAATCAAAGTAAGTAAAAAAACAATGAGAACCTGAAGTAAAGCCCTGTAAAGTAAGCTTCTCGATGGCAATTGCTTTGAATGAACAACTCTGTCGACCGACTGCGCTGCTAACATGCGCGCGTTCCGTCCAAGGTTAAAACCTGAAAACATAATTAATATTAGAACTCTAAAAAGAGAAATTGGAAATCAAAATGAGTATTTCTAGCCAAAATCACGGTAAACGATGAGAGGTACTAAGATTACATTAAAGACCGGGCAAGTGCGAGTCGGAGTCGCGCGCAACCATTAGTGCAACACGTAAGCCTTATCATTATCTATACAACAAGAGACCCTGTATTATAATATCGAGCAAAAAACACGTTTGTTGTATAGGAGTCCCCCTTTTATATATTCTGTGTATATTTCAAACATATACCTGTTGTCGTTATTAATATAGAGCAAAAAACCCCCCTTCCCCCCTTAAATATTTATATCATTCTGTTTTTAGCATTTGTTGTAATAGCGGCGAAATAAAATTCATCTGTGAATGTATAATTTCAACTGTCTAGCTATCAGGAATCATGAGATACAGCCTGGTGACAGACAGACATACGGACAGTGGAGTCTTAGTAATAGGGTGCCACTTTAACCCTTTGCCATTTTTACTACTTTTTTGTGTTACTTTAATGCCACTAATCAAACAAGAACGAAAAGGAAACGCAAGAAAAGGAATGTTTTACTTAAGCAAAGGAAAAACGAACGACAATACATACCCCTCAAGTGCTCAGACATTGGGAACCCTTGCCTGGTGTCCTCACAGAGGCCGTAACCCTTCTGGAACACATCGAACATCTCAGTGTCCACCTCTTCAGTGAGCAGGTGGTAGCAACACGGAACATTAAACACAGCGGCCACTGACGGCTGACTGAAGAACATTCGAAGACTGTCGGGTCCTAGGTTACCACAGGTGTGAAGACCTGAGGGGCGAGAGAAAGTATCCGTATCGCCATTCTCAAAGTTTCTATGGAAACTAGGCAGCGCCCCTACCAGACATAAGAACAAACTAAAGGAAGTACGAACGCTGCCGTAGCGAGAGGCTAACGTTACATTGTCAATATTTCTACAGAGGAAAACCGCTACGTTTTTTACGTTATGGATCTGTCAAAGTTCATTCTTGGGGTACTTACTGAATAGGCTACTTGACACTTTTTGGAAATATGTTTTAAATTGGTTAATAATTGTTCTATTAGACCGAAAAAAATAATTGTATTTATTTTTGATCTAGAAAGCTACAAAACTTTAATTTTAAAATAGATTTTTCATGGAAATACAAAAACGCTCCATTTAAGCATTTAGTCTATATATTATCAATGCTATGACGTCAACAATATCGTAAACAAACATTCGGAAGCACGTAGGAATTAACCTGAATCTAAATTTATATTGTAAAACCATGATTTCTAATAGATTTCAAGATAAATATAATAATTATCATGATTGTATTATACGAGAATGTAGAAACACATCGTTAAAGACTCCAGAAAAGTTGTGGTTTTAACTGTCTAGAGAAATACACATGAACACAGGCATGTTTAAAACTTGCTAAATCCTGTAATTTTACCTTCTGAAAGTCATTTCTTTTAGCAAAGATCACTTTAATGTGGATACTCATTGAATAATATTTATAGTTTAAAAATATTTTTAAGGTTATGATTGTACTTACTAAGTCACAGAGTTTTGTTGTTTCTGCTTTCCGGCATCCACCATTAATTTAGTCAACAAAACCAATAAACGGTTTTTTTTTTACAAGATGTAAGGTTTTTTTAGATAGTCCGACGAAAGACACCACAGTAACACGATAATGACGTTTAGTTGTTTACTAACACATTTACTAACTTGGTCACGTCACAATCACGGTGGACAGTATTTAAAAAGCATAGACTAAAAAACCATATACCATTATATTCAGATTTATACATTCAGTAACCGTTCTGGACAGCATTGCCAGACGTCCCGATTATGGCGGGACATCCCGATTTTTTAATCAAAATTAAGTGTCCCGCGCGTAGGGTTACTATTTAAAAATTTGAAAAGTCCAGACAAAAAGCCGGACATTTCGATAAAAGTCCGGACATTTTAGTCACAAAATGAAAACATCACCCACTTAGTTACAGTGATATTATTATAAGCGTAGTAGCAGACGCTCGCATCGCGAGGGGGGTCTCGTTGTTGATTTTTAAAGATGATTTATATTTTGTTTTAAGTAAATGAGAACTTAATAAAAATTATTTAACTTATTTGTTATAACTTAATAATTAGTTTTACTCATATTCCATCTAATTAAAAAAATCCGGTCAAACTCCGGACAAAAGGCAGAAAGTCCGGACATGTCCCGACGGATGGTAACCCTACCCGCGCGGGACAGGCTTAATCCCGCTTTTCGGGAATAACTCGACTGTGCATGCAGCGTACTGAGAAAGCGCGGAAGGCTGGCACAGACAAGTGAGGACTGGCAAACAAAGACAACTATTTTACAATAGGGTAAATCTGATTTAAAATATCATATTTTTATTAAAATATATTTTCTATGGATATTTTTACTAGGTACCTATCTATTGTCACGTAAACGTAATTTGAACTCAAATAAAAAGATAAATATTTCGACGAAAGAATCCCGCTTTTTCCACTCAAAAAATCTACATAAGTACCTAAATACCGACTTGGCAAAAAAAAACTAGCAACGCTGGTTTCCTTATGTTTAGTAGGGGTTTACGTTACGGATCTGTCAAAGTTCGTGCTCGGGGTACAGAATTCAAAGCGCCTAATATAGCTTGTCTATTCAGATTTATACATTCAGTAACGCTTCTGAAACACGTCGAACATCGCAGAGTCATCTGTTCAGTGAGCAGGTGGTAGCAGCACGGAACATTGAACACACACAGCCTAGACTAAAGACTGAAACCTGGACTAAAACTAATGCTGTCACTTTTGTTTGCTAAAAGGAAGACAAAGACAACATTAAACCAAGACTAACTTTATTGTACGGCTTCCCACGACCTTCACCAGATCGTCGGTCCACCTGGTGGGAAGCCTGCCCACTGAGCGTCGTTCGGTGCGTGGTCGCCATTCGAGAACTATTTTCATTACTCAATCACGCAAAAAAGAGCTCAACAGATTTGAATGTAACTCTTTTGGAAGAGTTACATTCAGTAACGCTTCTGAAACACGTCGAACATCGCAGAGTCATCTGTTCAGTGAGCAGGTGGTAACAGCACGAAACATTGAACACAAACCGCCTTCACGAAAGAGTGAAACCTGGACTCGAACTAATTCTATTTCAAAAAGAAGACAAAGACAACATTAGGTTTAAACCAAGACTTATTTAGTCCACGGCTTTCGCGACCTTCATCAGATCGTCAGTCCACCTGGTAGGAGGCCTGCCCACTGAGCGTCGTTCGGTGCGTGGTCGGCAGTCCACAATTTTTCATTACTCAATAACGCAAAAACGGCTCAACAGATTTGGATGAAATTAGGCTCACATATAGTTTATTACCATGATTGAGACATAGGATACTTATATCAGGGAAAATTTAAGGATCCTCATAAAACTAAAGTTAATGCGGTAGAAGGAGCGGGCGGCTGTATTTATATATGGTTAGCGACCTGACTGCGAATCCAGCAGCAGCAGCCCCGGGTTCGAATCCCGGCAAAAGTTTATGTGATGTACACATTTTTTAAATTTGGTGTGGATGTTTATATCAGTATATTTTAATAAATTTATACGTTATGTAGCACCCATATGCTATAGTTTAAACTATGGTTGGTTTGTGAAGGTGTCCACAATATTTATATTTACAAAAATAATCTGAAAGTACAAACCCGTCAATAAGAGTTTGATATGTTTATCGGAATGTTCTGGAAAATTATCTCTAACTATAGCTGCTAGGTCTGTGTGCCTCGTCATGAAAGCGCTCGCAAAGCGATGCAAATCTCTGTTTATGTCAAGGGGCAACTGTTCTTCACTATCGCTTTTAACTTTCTTGACTATTGCATGCCATTGTTTCTGTAACATCATAACATGAATTAGTTATTCGTTAGAATTCATAACGCATACGCATGCGCAGAACGCAGAGAATGTTACTCGGTGAAATTCTTAGCTATACGAATATAACAAGACACAAGAATTAATGTTAATTGACGTTTCCATATGCGACCGTTAGAATGTTTGTGTGTAATATTGGGGCTACACAAATAGCGAAAACTTGGCGATGATATTCGCGCGAGAAAACTTTGTCATCGGCGGTCATCTTGGTAGCTTAGTATTACTAAATACATTCGATTAATGACTAGGGATGGCGATTCTTTCCGAAAAAGATCGATTTTTAAATCGATTCGAATCGTGACCTAATGAATCGATCCACAAAAAAATCGGGGCCTATAAGACCGATTTCTGAAAAATCGATCTTTTTTTAAGTTTTTGTTTATAATGTAATCAAGTCTATTTTATTAAAAACAAGATACATATTACAATTTAACGATCTCTTATCAGTAAAATCAGGTGATTCGATGATAAAAAATATTTTTATTCAAAGATTACAAACAAACGTAACTTTTTTTTATTAAAAAGGGGAGAAGGAATCCAAATATATAGCCATCTCGCGATTTTTTTTATAATTAACCCTTTTACCGGCAGCACCCTTATAACGGGTACATTCAAATAATTCTAAATACTTTTTTGGTTTATACCAAATAAATAAAATAAAAACGAAGGTCGATTTTCAAGGGCGAAATATCGATTCAGTGAATCGATTCTGTACTACATATCGATTAATAAAATCGATCATTTTGGCTTAAAACATCGATTATTCGATTAATCGATCTCAGATCGCCATCCCTATTAATGACTCAATTATTTCATTAACTTACCTCGAGTTTATTGTTTAATTTTTTAGCACTTAATATCTGAAGCTGTTACTTGTTTATTGTCCTTGATGTGCGAACGTTTACCGACTGATAGTAGAGCGAAGGAACCTAGGCTTCACCCAAAATAACAGTTTCTGCTGTTTTCGCGAAGGTTTGGCTACTTACATCACGATACCCCAAAAATTTAGTAATCGCGATATTTGTAGCCAGGAATATAAGGGCCATTCGATTTTCTCTGCCTGCCATGCTTATATCGTTAATAATTACATGGTAAGTTAATTGATAAAGCTAAGCACATTATTTGATAACTGGAGTTCAACTACTATAGTACGGTCGCCGAGCAGAAAGAATTTCGTACAATGACCCCACGCTACCCATCCTTATCGCTCGCGAGCAATTATGTTGCTGTCACGCTTGCACACAGTACTACACACGGTAATTGTGCGAGCGAGATAGCAACATAATTGCGGATGGGTGGCGTGGGGTTATTGTACAAAATTCTTTCTGCCCGGTGACCGTACTTTACCTGTATTATCTTAACCCGTTGAGCTGCCGAGTTGATAGTTTTCTCATCGCAGTCTATAGTTAGGCAGGGTATGCCGTAGCCCAGTGTAAGTGCAACGGGAAGATGGCCCCTGCCTCCGCCGGCTTCGACGCAACATGTCGTCGAGCAAGCGTTGTGTAGCGACGCAACAAGATTCGACATTGTCTGTACCTAGAAAGAAAAAAAGCCATAAAGTGAAAACTAACTGTGGTTATAATTTATTTATACCTAGTCAGGTCATAAATTCTGTCACATGTTTAATATAAAATAATTGAAACAAGTTTATTCATTATGTAACCATTTATATACCAAAATGAATTTAACAAAACATAGATTCTTATGACAATAAAGTTTATTCAAAATGACCTCCGTGATTTTGAATACAGGCCTTCAATCTGCGCGGCCACTCGTACATCGCAGCACGAACGAGGTCCATGTCAATATCGGCGGCTGCCTTAATCAAGGATTTCTTGAGTGACTCCAAATTGGGATGAGGCTTTGAGCACGCCTTTTCCTCCAAGTTTTGCCATATCTTGTAATCTAACGGACTCAAATTTGGACTGGAGGAGGGCCAGTCTACGTGCCGGATGATGTCGATTTCACGCGCCGCCAGCCAGTCTTGTGTGCTCTTCGCTCTATGAACTGGCGCCGAATCTTGTTGGAATACCCAGTGCCTGTTATTGAACATGGTATAAAAAACAGGTTCCACAAGGTTCGTCAGGACTGTATTTTGATACACAACTGCAATCGTTTTTACACCTTTCTCACAAAAACGTACCTCTGTTAAGCCCCAATAAGAAACTCCCAACCATACCATGAACGATGACCTCGTTGGACACGCGGAATACGGTTGCTCGCTTCTTCACTACTGTGTGCGTACACCTTATCATTTTTTTTGTTGTAACTCTCTTCTACGGTAAAATTTTTTTCATTCGAAAAAATAATTTCCCGATATTCTTTTCCCGCGTACCGCTTCAACAAAGCGCGGCATCTCTTCAGTCTCAGGTCCATTAGACGAGCATTCAAACGATGTCCTGTTTTTCTTCGATATGCCCGAAGCCCCATGTCTTGATTTAACACCCTTTTCACCGTGGCCAACAGTTTCTGCTTACGTTTGGGATTTCTTTGAATTCGCACCTTCACAGCTTTTATCACTGCTGGAGTCCTAACAGACCGAGGGCGACCACTTCTTGATCTGTCATCTACACTAGAGTCTTCATTGTATCGTTTGATGGTACAATAAACGAATCTTTTGGTTATATTCAAATCAGTATGTCAAAAATTTCAATTGGCGCGTAACCGCAACGATGCAACGCAATAACTGCAATACGGTCTTCTTTAAGCGTCCACTCCATATTTAAAAATGAGTAAAATTCTAAAAAGTATATATTTTTATTTTCATGAACAATTCGAAATTCAAATTTAATAAACTTTTTTGTGGCCAGCATTCTAAAAGAAAAGTTTTTACCGTGTGACAATACTTATGACCTGACTGTGTACCTACTTACAAGATGAGAAAAAAAAACAGTTATAACAGAGATGACATTCATTTTCATGATATAAAGCCCGGAGAACGCACGGCGCGGCGCTATGTTGTTTGGACTCTTTAAATAATAATTGTGTGAGACCCGAATTTCGTTACACTTATGTAGGCTTTTTATACTATTCTTCGATTTCATGATCATCATTGTGCGCTCCGCTGTTAGCGCCATCACTAGACCAGGCGAGTGATGCCTTGCTACATTTAGTTATATGTAGGGCGCATAGATGTCGCCGCCAGTGTGTAGGTCGTGTTTTTCGCATCACTGAGCAAGGTGTCCAGGGTTACACAGGGTAGAAGAATGGGGTTAAAAAAAAGGATAGGAAATTCAGTATGAGGGATATTTTCAGATATTACAAGCAACGCTATAATAACTCTACCCCTGGACACAACCACGTGCGCTCAAATGTGTCCCAATCAAGAAGTGTGACTCAAGCACTTCTTGGTACACATTGACGCGCAGACCATTGAAAAGTCAACTTGGTGCAGAGCTCCGGAAAAAAAATACTTATAGTAATTACGTAGTGTCGTTTTTTGACAAGTATCTAATCAATGTTGTTGGAATACAAACTTAAAACAGAATCGAAACGTATTGACGTTTTGTTGTCTATGAGTTGTCTATGTGACCTGCGAGTTCTTTAAAAATTTTAAAATTGCTTAAAACTTCACTCTCTTGTGTTGTAACAGTTCGTTAAATAATTGTTTTAATTTATTCATTAAATTAAACACATTTGAAGGCAATTTTGTTGTTATACGTACTATAAACTGATTTAATATAAAATACATATTTGTGATATTCAAATGCTTGGTCGGTTGTATAGCCGTCTCTTTTCCTCGCGCTCCGTAGCTGTTTTAATGCTAACAGTGCATTCAGAATAACGATATAGAGTCATAGAAATAAAGTACACAATCTTCCTGACGAACTCCTTAGCAATCCATGGATTGACAGTGCGGGTGCCGGGTCCATCGTGTGGGAGCGAGAGAAACTCTGAGCAGTTCCAGGGACTTGCAACCCAGGTGTAGGTTTAAGGAGCCTTTTAAGGAGCTCGAGTTGCCCGCCCTTCCTAGCCAAATTTGATAAGAGCCTGTTAGTGCAGCCTTAGTTACTCATTCCAAAATTGAACTTACTGCAGTTCTCGACAGGCCTAGGTCTTTTAGAAGGTTAAAGAGATTTTGCTGGTATACCTCTCGCTCCTACTTCTACTTCTTTTCCATATAAATTAATTAGATAACCATTTTGGTTAGTTCATTGGTTAGATCGTAATACTAATTCAATTTTATTGTGTGATCTTTTGGAATGTTAATTTTCCACGGGACAGTAAACTCTATTATTACTATATGTGTGATGTGCCTTGAAAAGAGGAATATGTTCGGCCTGGATGACAATATTCTCTGGTATTTTGTAATGCATTTCATACGTATCCATTAAAATAGTCCAGTCAAGAGCAGTACCTAGGATTGAGAAAGGCTTGCTTTTTGAGTTAACAGTTCTGTTGAGCCTTCTTTTTATTAAGTTCATTTGTTTTATATTTGTGGTTAATACTTTTTGGGCTCTAGCCACTGCGAGCTGCTACACGTATGACTTCAAGTACTCTTTCATGGCAACATGAGTATTGACCCCTATCAAGCACCTTGCAACCTAAAAAAATAGTCCTAGTCGTAAATTTTTACAAGCTTGCATTTCAAACTATCATAAATGTTTGACGCATGTGTTTGTTTCTAATTTAATATGCATTAACAGTGACTGGAAATTCAAATATTGCCTTATATTGTTTTTGACTACACTATCATCTTACGGAGCTCCGTGGATTGTTCAATATACCTTTGGACAGGTTTTGGCCACGATTTTGTTCGTGATGTTGTATCTAGGGTATTAAATATTGTTGATTGCAAGTATTTCGTAAGCTAGGTGGCCACTTATTATTATGAGATGGTCCTTTATTATGCTTGTTGACACCCTTTATATGTTCTCTAGTTGTTCATGACCTTGAGCACATAGGTACATATTCAGATGGATTCGATGTTACAAAGTGGATGATCTTAATTGGCCTCCAAAATTTTAAAAATAATTTCTCATGTAGAAATATATTGAGCTGTGATTGTCTTTACAATAAATAAATAAATAAATGATTCATGCTTCTTAGTTTTACCTCATAGCTTTTCTTGCTATTCATAAATTCCATAATTTTGATTTCAGTTGTAATATTGCCACCCCATTTCTTTATGTGGTTTTGTAGCTGCTCTTTGGAGATACAATACTCATTATTAAGGGATAGGTAGTTAGTTTTTGATGTTTGAATCCACTTGTCAAGTTCACAATTCACTGAAAAAAAAAATTTATTAGGTCAAGAATTAAAAAGGAAATCTATGGAAATACCTGCTTTGATTCTATCTTTAGCTGAGGGCAACAAAAAAAAAATAAATATATACATCATTTTTCCAGAAAAGAAAGTTGTGTTCTATTATAATAAAGCATCTTACCATTCAATAAAAGAAATTATTCACTTGTAAAAAAGTTTGATAAATAAAATGTTAGAATTTTACCATCAGGTTTACACTCAGCTGAATTCCAAAACTTGTCGACAGCTTCATTTATACTCCACTTATCAAGAGTAATCCTTAGACTTGGAGGAATAAGTCTCTCCCAGTGACTTTGAGTGAAAAATTCCACCATGTGACAATTGGCTAGTGGCATCAATGGGTTGAGATAAGAAATAATAGAGTCAATGTGTTGTTGTATTCTTGAAATTGTTAATTCTTTCGCCATACTTTTCTGTTTCTGCAAAAATAATTTATTATTATGTTGCCTTTGTAGCTATGTATATAGCTGCAAACATACTTGCAGGACAAAAAAAATATCATGCAGTATAATGCTCTAACTATATCAAATGTTGCAGAGGAAATCACCAATTTTTAGACCCATGAACATCTTAAATAATACAATATTATCTGCTAAATACAGACTCCCAAAAATAAATACCTCGAAAGTTATTCAAATGTTATACTTGTTTCTTACCTCTTTAACTTAGAATGAAATATCAGTGTCAAATGGATTGTTTGATGGTATCTTTAGTAAAGCACATACTTTTTTGTATTGGGCACGTATTGCTTCTAACAATCCAAGGATGTCATGTTCTTCAGAATTGTCACGAGGAAAGGAATCAATCAGAGTTTTAACTTTTAAAAGTTGGTTGATTATTTTATCAGAATGTGTTATATCCTGCTTTTCATATGCTTCAATATATTTACTAACGATGCCTAAGTAATAACCTAAAATGAATAAATAAAGTGTAGTAGTAACTTTTTATCATAAATGTAAATGACTTTATAATAATACACATTGTACAATGATGTTAACAAAATATATTTATGGCTTTACAAACTAAATTGAGAAACTATTCAGTTTCACCACAAAAATAATAATTTTAGGCACCATTATTATTATATGAAGCACAGTAAATCACTCCGCACTACATATTCTGTAGTCAATTTAATTACGAGTACAGTTTATGTGCCAGAGAAACATGTCACTCTAGTCACTCACACTGCCAACCTGAACTAGAACCCCTTTTAAACTGTGATAAATTGCTAAACACTAGATGGAGTTTTCTATAGGGATGTGATCATATGTTTTACCTATATTTCTAATCATGAATAGTATTTTTGGCGTAATTGAACCAGTGGGTAAGATAAATATTACCAAGTTCGCGGCCTAACTCAGCACCCTTATGATAGCCTAGATGATATCCTTCTGGATTGCCAGCTAAAGTACCAGCTTTATAACCTTCATCATAACTTTCTTTATAGGCTGCTTCTTCACTCATAAATATGTCGTCCAGTACATCATTAAAGTCTTTATCTTCTGCCATTTACCAATAGAAAAACTTAAAGATGTATAGTAACGTAAGTAAATAAAAAGATTTGCTTGTTTTGTTTTATTTTGATTTTGAGGTTATTTATTTGGACATGGCATACATTTTTTTTAATTCTCCTTTTTCTAGGAAGGCAAGCGGAACAATGCCGATACAGCCTGGTCTTATTTTACTTCTTGATTTTATTTCACTTATTTGTACCCCAATATTAAAGGGTATTGAAGCATTTTTTTTTATATTCTTGTTATTCCTCAAACTTAATGTGTTATTATGATTATGTTTTTAAATGTACATTTAAAAAATATATTTTTTTCTAATATCACAAAGAAGTAAAAAGGCAGTTATGGGCCTACCACACGCACGAGCTTCACCACAGTTTTGCCTGCGCAGGCCGGTTTGTATACGGAACACGGTGCGTGTAGTTGGTAAAACTGTATCACGCGCCAACCCCACAGCGTGGCCTGCGCACTTTTCGACTTGCTTGAAATTTTGCCTGCGCAAGCCCGGCCTGCGCGTACTTGTCTGTGCGTGTGGTTGGGCGTTCAGTGTTCAAGCCCCAGTCGAGTGTATTTTGAGTCGAGGCTCGCTCGTCGTTTCATGAGGTCATTCGTCATCGTCACTCGAAAATGGCAGATTTGCGTACAATATTTGTTTATACAAATCTGTGCCTGCACTCTGGAAAATTAAATCTAAAGATTATTCCGACTGAAATAAAAAGAATGACACTTACGAAAGAATGATAAATAAAATGAAAGAGGTAAGAGCATATTTTTTGCAATTAAATACCTATGCCTAATACCTACTACCAACTACTTGCACATATTATGTACATATCCTATCGTTTTTACATGTTCTTTTTAATAGAAAACACTTGAAAAATATTAGCATAAGAAATGTTTCTTCATTAGGAAACATTGTTTCCACGCCAATGATTTCGATAAGAATGAGGCTTGCGCGTACTTAACTGTGCCGTGTGGTAACGCACAAAGTGTACAGTTTTTTCGTGCGAGATGCTTGCGCAGGCCAAACTGTGGTGAAGCTTGTGCGTGTGGAAGCGCATTACAAAAGCAAAATAGAAATATAACTTTTGACACAAAACTGTTTTTATTTTTATTTGCAAATTTGACATGACATATTACTGGCAGTGTTGCCAGATCTTTAAACCGGTGTTCCCGTAATTTTCATTGCCAAATTCCGTATGAAATCCGTATAAAAATTTAAACCTAGATTACCGATACCATTTAGTTTAATTCAAGAACATTTTATTATTAAAAGAAATTTGTTATGAGAAAAAAAACCTAATTCTAACTTTAGTAAGTCAATGGTTTCAATATTCTGTCTTCTCTAAACTTAAAACTTTTAACTTCGGTCTATCCTTTTCATTCTGTATAAAGAATGACAAGGATACACTTTTGTGAAATTAAAGTTTAGGGTAAGCCAATTATGTCAGAATCTGAAATTATAAAACAAAAACGGTTTCCAACCATTTTATTTGTATGTACAATATACATTTTAGTATTTCATTTCAGTATCAGTTATTTTTAATCAATGCTTAAGGCTGTAACATCGCTTGACTGCTAATAACGCCTTCTATGTCATAATAATCTTGAAGTGCTCGTAATGATATCAATTAAAGGTATGTTCAAATTTTTTACGGATACCTTACGGATTTGATTAAAAATTTCCATACGGAATTTGGCAGTAAAATTACGGAAACACCGGTTTAAAGATTTGGCAACACTGATTCAGACTACTGGCGGCACTACACTTGGCGATTCGGTGTTTGCGTTTTTGTGTACAGTGCGATTCAACTAAGAATAGGACGTAATAACTGTCAATTAAACCCGGGTAGAGTGAGCAAAAAAGTTTTTCTTTGATAAAACTTATTTACCAAGATTAAGTGAGAAAAAATATCAGATTTAAAAAAAAACATTTTTACTATTATATTTTATTTTACGAGAGAAATAAAAACATCATTATTTATAATATTTATTTATTAAGACTGAGTTGGAAAAAAAATAATTAGAATCTAGCTCTTTAATTCCGCTCATCTCTGCAATATATTTTTTTTCTAAATAGCTTCGCACGGCTTGTGCATTTAGCCAATGTGAAGTGTTAAAATGTTTACAAATACTATAGCAGTCGTGGTTACAGTAATAAATCAAGTCAAAGTAAGTGGCAGTCAAGTCAATCCCCCTCTCCTTATGTTTCAGTAAAAGTGTGGGGATTTACCTCCCCGTGGACTTCTTGAGGGAACGTCGAAAGACACTTTCCGCTATTTTGTTTCACGTGCCAACACTTGTGCATGTTCCCGAACACTTAGTGGTTAATAATCCACCACTATTAGACACTAACATCCGCCACAACACAATTTTTAACAAGAAAAACAAAACTGCTTAAGTGGCGCTCCCGATACCGCCAAAAAGTTCATCTCTGCACTACCATCGGTGAAGTCATTATCAGCATCACTGCTTCATTCAGCTATAAAATAAAATATCAATTATTGTAGGTTTTAAAACGACAAGTTTATTTACAATAAAACATTTTTTTTTATTACCTGTATTTATAATAAAACTAAAGTTCTTATATTTCCCCTTTTCAGTACTCATTTTCTATACGTTCACATGATTTATTTCCTTTTTATGTTTACAAATGTTTGGTTTTTATTATAAGATTAACTCAGTGCTAAAAATGTGTTCCAAGATATTTTTGCAAACCGTACTTTTCAAGTGACTTGACAGATGGAGGTCACTGGCTTCCCTATTCTTATGGCATAGTACAATTTTTTGGAAAAAAAATACGAAAAGGGTATTACAAATACACGACAATACGACCATCCATAATAATTGGCGTCTAGGAACGAATAATCACGGATTAACGAAGATAAACACAAACATTACGAACATTTGTGATTAAACCAATGTCAAGTAAGTGACACTGCCTGTCACTTGCTTGACTTGGTTGCTTTCACAAAACGTCATTCTAAGTTAAAAAAAATATAATAATTTATAAATATGTCATCAGAAATAATTAGTCTAAATGAAGTCAATAAACATAAAACGAAGAAAAGTTGCTGGATGGTAATTCATAACCAAGTATACGACGTTACAAAATTTTTGGAAGAGGTTAGTTAAAAATACTGTTGTCTTATATAGAATAAGAAATATCATTTGACCTATGAGAATGAGTTATTGAATAAATATCAATATTTTTATACCTAAATGTTTTAGCATCCAGGTGGAGAGGACGCTCTCTTAGAATATGCAGGAAAGGATGGAACTCAAGCTTTTGAAGATGTTGGGCACAGTGAAGATGCTCGGTAATTATTTTATCTTTAATTAATATTAACAAAACTCTTTATTTTACACCACAGAAAATATAAAACATTGCACATAATTGCTGCATACATTGTGAAAAGGGCGGTCTTATTTCTAAGAGCTATCTCTTCCGGACATCCTTGGCTAATTAAGCTGGAAAACATTTTATTGATTCGTAATGAAATAGTTTCAATGGCCAGACTGTACTTGTTGGGATTGGGAATTGAAAATTTTGCTCCTTTATCAATAAATGTATCATTGAATGATAAATGGCATATGAGTGACATGGACAAAACATGCCATAACAAGTCTCAGCTTATTCCTTGTTTATATATTAGGGGGATAGTGTATAGAGTGAACACAGTTTTGTGACTGAAAACAAAAACTAAAGTGTAACTCCCAGGCCCAACAAATACAGAGGATCACCTCTAACCAAATCTAATATTTTTTTTTTATATTGCACTATATCACTGGCAAAATGCCAATAGTTTACAGCAAAAACTGGCATAATGGTTAAAAAGTATCTGTAGTGTTGGGTAGGACACGACTTCAAAAAGAGTTTGTAAGAGTAGCCTCTTTTTTGTACTGAGCCAGTACAATGTCCCACTTCAAATGAGGGGAGGCGTAATGAAGCTCTGCAATACATTTGAAGGGACGAGTACAAATATGACATTGAGGCGTACAGAAGCTCGACATTACGTTTGTGTGCACGAATAGCACCTGGAGCGTAAGTTCTGAACGCAACCCTGGGCTGCGTTCAATGCCTACGCTCTGAGTGCAACTTTTACCCTGACGTTTAAATTTTGACATAAAATGTATGAAGCTAATGTCAACTTAGATATTTGTTGCACCTAGAGCGTAGGTTTTGAACGCAACCCAGTGCGAGTGACAAGGACTAGGAAGGAGAGATAGAGATACAGATGGATAGTGCGTAGAGGACTTAAATGAAATGTCATGCCTCGCTCTCTCTCAGACTTACGAAGAGTGAGTGAGTAACGAGACGCGACTATCGCGACATTTAATGTGAAGTAGTACATTTTGAAATTTTGAGCCGCTCTTACATTTTGACGTCATGTCCGGGACAAATGTACCGCCTCTTGTAAGTCCTACTCAACACTAAGTATCTGTTTATAAAATGTATCACTGTATTTGACAATAGTTTTAAATATCCACAGAACACAGAAAGAGGTGGTTTTATTCTTTTCTTGAAAAGGATAGACAAATTTAGTTAAGTTTAGAGAAGTCAGGACAGATCCCATTTTGTACTTATTTTGATTTCAATACAATTATGGCAAATCATTTTCTAAGCCTTTAGCGGTTTTGCATGGAGTGCTAAGTATTCTTTCATATGTGTAAACTTTTTGTTTATAATATACCCAGCAATTAAGACAATTCAGTGAAATTGGTGAAGCTGTTAAGTGATGCTATGTATGTCATATGTGCGGAATTAGATTTTTACTATGGTTTTATATATCTATTTTTGAAGCTACTATTAGTAGTGGTTATGATAACCCCATAGGCATCTCCAAACATTTTCTTCTCTTTTTTCTTGGATTTCAAATTATATCACCACCAAGTAGATTTTTGCAATATTTTACATGTTTTGATATTTAAGTTACTTTTCATTTTATTTTTTAAAATTCATATATAATTAAACATAAAAATCATTGTTTATATTCATTGTTTTCAGAGAATTACTGAAAAAGTTCAAAATTGGTTTATTACCTCAAGGAGAACGAGCAAAGGATGTAGCAAAACATTGGTATGTATATTAATTACAATTATATAAAAAATAAATAACCAATTTTAAAATTTATATTCAAGGCAATCATAACTGACTGACTTATCTATAAATACACAGCTCAAACCATTCAACAGTTTACATTGAAATTTGGCGTGTAGATTGCCATTATGACATTAGCTAAAAAAATTTTCCATAAGTATATCCCTTGAGGGGATGAAACAGGGTCCATAGTGTGTGAGTTATAATAAGATGAAATATATCTTTTTATTGGAAAATTCACAGAAATCAGTTATTTACTAATGAATAAATAAAATTTTCAGGCTCTTTCAAAATTCAATCCCTAAAGGTGTTAAACATGTTAAAAAAATTTAATCAATCAGGGTGTTGTTTTTATGGCTTTTTGGGTTTGGTTAGGATGATTATAACGATTTTAATTTTAGATTAATTGTGCGCCTTTGTTTTATATGAGTTTCAGTCTTAAAATCAATTACTTATTACCATCAAATAAAAGTAGTCCATAGTATGGCGCTTAAAGTATTTTAAAACTTGGTAATATTACTAAAAAGAAGATTAATATTGTCCTAGGAAGAAACCAGCAATCAAATGCAATTAATTCCATTCAGGTGAATTAACAATTGCTAATCTTGTAATTTTATGTCTTTACAGTTGCAAGAAGTGCATTTCTCCAAAAAGGTTATGTTTTTTTAGATTTTTATTATTTTTTTAAAAATAGTTGCTACATAGACAACATTAAATATATTTGAATAATTAATATTAGATAATAATTCTTATAAAAGGGATAATAATTTTATCCACCAATAAAGCAAACTACTATTTACACAAAAGTGACCTATAGAAAAACTTCTTTATATAATGCATATTAATAAATCATTATCTGTTAATATCATCATCATCAGCCTATTAATGTCCCCACTGCTGGGGCACAGGCCTTCCCTATGGATGGAATAGGGAGATTGGGCCATGACCCACCACGCTGGCCCAGTGCTATTAATATGTTAATATGCTTCTGAATATAATCTATCTCCACACTAGTGGCACTTATTGCGAATACGTCATTATTACTGTCCCTCTTCTGTCATTCAATATGTTTCATCTCTTAGCTCTTTACAATATTTAGTTTCGAGAGATTAAAAATACTAATAAAATTATTACAATTTTTTAATAAAAAAATATTAATAAAAATTGAGAGAAGTTCGTATTAAGTATAAGTAATGTTTTGTAAAAATTATTTAATTTAACAAGCTGTCTAGCTTGGATAAATTTGTCTAGGTTTTGTAACAGTTTTTCATTGCAGTCAAGGTCGACCTGGGTCATGTTCAAGTTGCTTCCCAGAAAGGTTTTAATTTTTTACTTGTTCTAGAATTCTTATTTTTCAATATTTTCGAAACTAAAAATTATTTTATATTTTATGCAGTACACGGCCAGTAAGTGAAACCAAATCATGGCGGACATTTGACGGATCATCTAGAAGGTTATTTTTTTAGGAGTATATTACATACAAATAATGGTGCATTAATATTTTTTTCAACACATTTTCTGAAAAGAATTTCGGAGGTTGTATACATTGTTCGAAAAGTCAAAATTACGAGCGGAGCGTGCGGTAAAATTTCATTACGCACGCTCCCATACATGGCACCGTGGCATCTTTACAATTGTTTTTTTCATTTCGGTCGAATCACACAAATGTAATCGGCGTTACGGGTTAGAGTGAGTGTGAGAGAGGAGGAGTATCTACATCAGAAAGTTATTAAACTAAATAAGCACAGGAGTTTGGTAGGTGAAATGTGGATTGGAGGGTGATAATAAGGGATTGGAGGGTGATAGTGGGGATTGATGGATGATAATAGGGGATTGGTATATATAGGCACTGTTTTCTCGCAAATGTGTTGAAAAACGTTGTATGATATTCTTACATTCGTCTACTCGTTTGTAATAACCACCTTACCGCACTTGTATCATAAATAACTATTTTCTAAAAACTACTTTTATTTTATTTCAATAGTCTTAAGCAACCGAAACCAAAGTCGGTTTATAAAAAACCGCCAAGTCCGAAGGTGGAGAGAAGAGTAGAAGCGATAGTGGTGCCTCATGAAAGGTTATTATTTATTGTTTTTAAGAAATTAAAAAAATACTATCTACAAAACGTAGCTTAAGTTTATAAAGGGAAGTGTATTAATTATAGAAGGGTAGGTATTTAAAATGAACAATTTAATATATGGATATGTCACCGGCAATCTGAATAATGCAGGTATTCTATACAATACCTAGGCAATGTATAGAATGCCTGGGGTGCCTGGGCAATGTATGAAATATTGTTAAAAAAATACTTTTTATACATTGCCTAGGTAATGTATACAATTCCTAAGGATTGTAGAGTACCTACTGGCCCACCGACAATGTGTAAAACAAAAAAGATTTTGCCAGTATTTATCTTATAGTAGGGGAGCCAAAGCAATGATTTTTAGATTTATTCGAGCACGGCAGATTAGCATAAGGGGGCAACCTTGCATCTTGTGAAGTACCTACAATATCTGAACCCTTTATATATTGCCGAACGTCTTGGGCAGCCAAAAAAATATTCAACAAACTGCCATGACTTTAAGTCACGTCAACGGGTCTGAGGATAGAACAAATTTGATCTGCCAGTTTGAATAGTGTGCCGTACGAAGGGGCAGAATCAGTGGCGTAGCTTCCACCGTATCTGCCGTTTCAATTATACGGGGCTCCCGGGAAACGGGGGCCCCAAACGGGCGTAAGCAAAAATTAATTAAAAATCCCAAAATTTTTTTTTTCAGAAATGACAAAAGTCAAAAAAAGCTTTTTTTCCCCGCGTACAGCATGCATTGGCAACACCCTACATCGATTATCGCGGGCTGCAGGATTTCCGGAGTTTATGTCATTTACTTGAGCAGAGGAATCCCACAATAATCGATGTACATGCGACACGATGATAAACCACAGAGTCACTATTGTAGATATAAAATGACGGACGGATTTTGTAATTCTCATCGAACGAATTACAGAACTATGAATGCCAGAGTTGGACGAACTTCATAAATATACTTCCGGACACATCTACGGCCCACTTAGTGTTATAATAAGTATTTTTATTTATTTATACATTTTGTACACACAAATATAAATAGAAAGAGATTACAAAATAAGATAATAGTACAAGGGCACAGCTTATTTCAACCTGAAGTTTCTTCCAGCAGGCCCATTGTAGGAAAGCACATTGAAAAGCCAGTCAGCGTGTACATCTAATTATGATTAAATATATACGTTAAATACTTAAGAGTAGGGGACATACACAATTATAAATAGGTACTAATACTTATATTAATAGATATATACACAAGTACATATATAAATATATATACATACATTATGGACGAAAAGAGGAGAAAAGAAACAAGTAAGGGCATGGTTAAGGGCATGAAGATAAATAATGTTCCTTTAGACGCTTTTTAAACACCGAGATAGAACTGGAATCTCTAATTACTGCTGGCAGCGAATTCCACAGGCGGACGGCATGTACTGTGAATGAATAGGATGCGAAGCCAGTGTTATGGGTGGGACATTTTAGGAGGGATTTGAGATGGGATCTACAATGATCTGTAGGAGAGTGGACAACGGAAAACCGCTCCCGAAGATAGGATGGATACGAGGGATTATAGAGGATGTTGAGGCAAAAAGGAGGCAAAGGATTCTCAAATTCCTGCGCAGACGTATAGGAAGCCACTTGAGTTCTTTACGAAATTTGGAAACATGATCATACTTCCGTAGACCAAAGATAAAGCGGATAGCTAGGTTCTGCAGGCGCTCAAGTTTGTTCAATAAAGTCTCTGTGGCATCTAAGAAGCAAGCATCGGCATAATCGAGAAGTGGAAGAATGAGTGACTGAGCGAGTGAAATTCTGGAATGCAAAGGCAAGAAATATTGAAGACATTTGAGGGAATGGAGCGAGTAGTACATTTTTTGACTGACATTAGCAATTTGGGCCGCCCAGGAAAGGTTGGAGTCGATTGTGATACCAAGATTTTTAACAGTGTCGCTAAATGGAATGTCAATCCCATCTAATGACACTGATGGCAAATGAGTGTTACGTGCAGCGTTCTGCATGTACCTACTCCCTATGATTATAGCTTGCGATTTATTAGGGTTCACCAGGAGACCGTAAGATTTTGCCCAAGTACTAATGCGTGAAAGATCATCATTAATTGCCGCTATTGCTAAGTCCACTTCGTTGACAGTAAAATGGCGATAGAGCTGCAAGTCGTCTGCGAAAGTATGTTTCATGTTGAGCAATAATTTTAAAAACACGTAAATATGGCTAATAAAGCAGCTTCAAAACTACGTAGGTATAATAAATTTTTGATCAATGTAACATTTATTTAGCTAGGCTAGGCTAGGGACCTTCAAAACCTAAACGCTAATGCTAAGTGGACCGATAGATGTGTCCGGATAACCAAAAACGTGTATTTTTTTCTTCCACCATGCCAGCTCATGAACTCACACACGGCCAAAAAGTAATGAACTGTTAAAGGAAACATCTTTATAATAGTCATCATTACCATGCGACTTCTTTTTATTTTCAAAAATGAAGAATAAATCTACGCTGTCTGCTACTTTTATCACTGGAAGTGGCTGACAAAGAGTAAAAAGCACGATTCTTAGGTCACTACAGAGAAGTGGCATGTTTTAGAAATTATATGCATTACGGAATATAAATATTTTATGAACTCTAAGGGAGAATATTGTGAAAAACTTTTCTAAGCATTTTGTATATCACTGAATAAATGCATTATTGTTATTATAACTAAAATCATTTTCGACCAGTATTTCTTCTTATTATATTATTCCAGAAATTTTAAGTGCGCTCCGCATTAGTTTAGAGCTGGTGATGGAGAATACACATGTTTCTCTGTCGTTTAGTTCAGAATGTTGCTTTACTTGAGTATTTTTTTTAATTTGATAGTTTGCTACATGATTGTAATATGGGATTTTTTCTTCTTTTAAGACGAGCGCGGGGCTTTCCATGTGAAAGGTCTAAAATATATTTATTTAAAGTAATATTCGTAGAATAATAGCTACTTAGAATTAATTAATATGTAATAATTGTTTTTAAGGAGGAGACAGCCATCGCCACCTCCAAGGTTATAGTTTAATTGTTTACATAAATGTTGATATTGTGGTCGTCATATATAAGGTGAAATTTAATGTTTTAATGAAATTTTACTTTAATGGGATTATTGGGTTACGTGTCTATACACGTATGCCTGTTTTTTTTCGGATTTTTGTGAAGTTTTTTTTCATGATTTTATTTATAATTTGTGTATTTTATGTCCTTTCCTCCTTTAGAGTAGTTATTAATTTTAAACACACATACCTACATATTCAGTGGAAAACAACTAATTAATAAGCACTACTAAAAAATGGAAATACAGTAAAATTAAACGAGCGCAGCCACCGCGGGTCAACGACCGCGCCCGCCCGCTGTTGAGTGAGTAGGTATACAGAGGTCAGCTGACGCGACTCCTTTGATTCCACACAATACAATAAAATCGTCTTGGATGCCAAATTTATTGAAATAATAAGGACAAATGTCATCTTCTCTTAAGCAGAGTAAAAGTTAATAATAATTTTGTCACGATTGGAAATAGGCAAATGAAGCAAAAACAAATGCTTATAACAGTTAAATACTTGGGTTAGAAAAAAAATTATAACCAGGTATTCAAAAGTACTTACTTTTCACTATAACTTCCCGTATACGCTTTGTAAACAGAATCAATCACCAAACCTACTTTCGTCAACCTTTTCGGCTCTGCTGACTATTTCGTCACACAACACACCATGTCCAAATTCTTATATCGAGGCCAAAGAACAAGAACTAATCGAGGCATAATTTGCAAATATTGTCTTGTCACAAAGTTAAAAGATCGCGTACGCTCGATGGATAGACTTGAGACTGCGCTCTGCGCTCGCTTACTGGGCTCGCTTACAGAGTAAGTAAAAAACAACAGTTGTTTTTTACTTACTCTGTATGCGTGCTTAAAAAGAATAGTTAGGTATTTAGTACCCAAAAGGAGGAAAAAACTTAAAAAATAGCAAAAAAAACAAAATTAAATTTTTAAATAATTTTAAAAATCCAAAAAAAAAACAGAGGTACTCTATAACGAAGATTCATTAAAACCTTCAATTTCACCTTATATACCTAAACATGACTTAATTATTAAACGTACTAAGGGAAGTATTTAGTACACTAAAGTAAAAGTCTGTTAAAAGTAGCCGAAAGGTTGGGCCTTTTCTATATAGTTCAAGAACTGTTAAATTTTATTAGTAGTTAAGCTTTTTATTCTAGGATATCGTTGTTTTGACTGAAGAATTATTTCACAAAATCATCGTACTTTAGTAAAATGGAATAATGGTAGAACTATGAATAAATTGGTGCAGTCAGGTGTTTTAATTTGGGGCCCATCTCCTTGCTAATGGGGGTTAGAAAATTCGCAATCGCAATGCGATAAGGTCGAAATCACTAGATAAATAGCGTGGAACACCATGTAGAAATGTTTTCAAATTTAATGACACATGAATATTAACCTCCATGCATACCTGCATTTTTTCGTTTTTTTTTTCGTCTAACAAGCTAGTGATCAAACCCAAACCACAAACTTTTATTTAAATTTAATAAACATTTAATTCTCAAATTATGATTTATTTATCATAAACGATACCAAAATAGTATCACCAGAAGAGTGCAGGGCATGAGAGACAATAAAGGTTGGTGTGCATACTGAGCAGGATCTCAAGTACGAACAACTAGCGAGAAAGATTCATATCGCCATCGTCAAAGTTTATATGGACCGCCTAAGTACCGTCAGTACCGGACGTTAAAGCAAACTAGCTCTTTCCTTGCCACAAGAGAAGGGTATTCACAACAGAAAAATAGGTAGGTAGGTCACTAATTTTACAAATAAACGCAAGTGCGGTCCTGCGTGGAATATTGCTCGCACCTCTGGGATGGCTCCGCCAAGTACTCGCTCGATGCTTTGGATAGGTTACAGCGGAGCGCGATCCGCATCATAGACGATGAGGAGGTGACTAAACACCTTGAGTCTCTTCAATTACGCCGTGACGTGGCGTCACTAAGCGCGTTCTATCGTCTGTAACACGGCGAGTGTTCTGAGGAGTTATTCTCTCTTATCCCACCTTCCCCTTCAGAGGCTCACACGTGCTGGCCTACGTTGTCACCGTCTAACTGGGCCACAATTCCAACGCGTACGAAGAAATTTGGTGACTCATTTCTTTGTCGCACTATCCGTAAATGGAATGCTCTGCCCGCTCACGTTTTCCCTCCCTCTTACAACCTGGGATCCTTTAAAAGAGGCGTGAAGAAGCAACATGCAGGCCGGCAGGGTGAGGATGGCTGGTGTGGGTGGCACAGGGTGGCATATTTTGAAATAAGCCCTAGCTAGGGGCCTCCTCACCTCTAAATCCGGCCCTGCATAGAAACTGACGATAGCGATACGAATACTTTCTCGCTAGTTATTCGTGCTTGCGGTTCAGTAGGTCTACTCTATTTCAACGGAAAACGAAATTTCGATCGAAATTTCGCACGTTCCTTACTCTGTTTCCTTTTCTTTTCTAAAATTCGTTAGTCCGATAATAGTTTGACAATTAAATTCTCCAAGCCTACTCTAATTCACAAAACTTTCGAAAGAAAAGTTGAATTTGACAGATAATTGATCGAAATTTTAACCTTAAATTGACGAAATGAAAAGTGTTACTTTTCATTTTCGTTTTGAGATTTTTGTTTTCATTAAGCCTAAAATGCTTGCAAGAGTATTTTAAATCAAGGCTTCTTAGCTCGAGAAACATTTTTAGCATGTAAAATTAACAATTAACCATTTTTTTATTATTTATTGTAATTCCGATATACTTCAAAGTATTAAACGACAAATTTAGGTTGACATACAATAGATTGTATCAACTCTACAAATTAGTCGGCTAACTTTGTCAAAGAAGGTTCTTACAATGTCATCAAAAAATTTGCCGTTAACTACCTATATTGTTACCAAATAAAAAAAACTTAATCTTAAAAGTAGAGACAAAAAGAACTTACAAACATGACTCATTCCATTCGTTCACGAAAACTGTTTGTGGTTCCGAAGTTTATGTGCCTGTTCGAAAATGAAATAGAGTCAATGGCGAAATTTCGTTTAAAATTCGTTCGTTACTGAAATTTCGTTTCGGAGAAAGAGGGTAAGGCTCCAGTTGTCTGTCTCTACTGACATGTTTGAAATAGGTTTCCTATAATCAACCTTATGACCCCAAAATTAAAGCACGTGACTGTAAATTTTAATAAAATTTTCTTCTCACAAATTGAACTAACTTTGTTTTTTCAGTGACGGCAGCGGTGGCGGTGGCGGTGGCAAACTGAAATGGGCGCTGTTGGCTTTAGCTGGAGCAATCGTTATAGGCGTCGTGTTGAAAAAATATATGAGCTAGAGGAGAAAATAAAAAATAGGGTTCCAATACTGCATGTTTAGAGAATAGACGTGATTAAGGCTAGTTGTAAGCCAGTCAATGTTACTTCTATCATTAAACGGCTTTAGAAAAGACATTAATATAATTAACTAGCGGCCGCCTGCGACTTCGTACGCGTGGAGTTAGTTAGAAATAAAGGTTCACTGCTCGTTCCCCATAGGTCATAGTGTGATAATATGTAGCCTATATGTTGACCCGACTTCTTAATAATATTCGTGCCAAATTTGAAGTAAATCCATGCAGTACTTTTTGAGTTTATCCCGGACATACATACAGACAAACAGACAAAAGTTCTTAAATTTATATAAAAAAAAATTCAATGTACAGTTTTGACTTTCCTACCATTTTATTATATGTATAGATAACTTTTTTCAGGCACCTGTCCCACCGCTAGCGAGGATGTGATTAGCTTCGACAACCGATTTCTCGATTAAGTGACGTACAATAGATTTCTGTATACAGAGAGATGCAATATCAGCTACAAGTTGATTGATTTGTGCTGCTGGCAAGCACATTTACTTTGTTACAGACGTGTTTTTGCTCGCCAATGTTTTTAAGGTTTTAGCTAATATTTTTTTTGCTGATTGTGAGAGGTGGGTGGAAGACGGGTGCCTTAAAAAGGTGAAACTTAAACGTGATCGATTTTAAACTTATATTTTAGTAAATTATATCTATGTTATCGGCATAATATACTTATAATTGTTACAAAAGAGATAAATTACGTAGGTACAAATTTTTAGGCAGTATGACTGTTGCATATTATATTTCTTGACATATTTTAAAATGTTGCTAATCAGGGTAGTTTATAAACATATGGTACTAAAACCTGTATTACGATAATGTGATAGTTTAATTGTATCCCCAGACGATCTTGAAATGGATTCCCTAGACAACCTTGCGGGATGATGTACGTTTCCAGGAATAATACGTTTACGTGAATTATGTTGCTGTATGAGTAGTTTGTCCCTTTTTGCAAGTCATTTGTATGCATGATAGAAAGTTATAGCATGTAACGTAGCATGTTCGTCTAAGAGCACCTTAAAGCATTCCTAAATAGAATTACAGCTTCTAATATTGTCATGAGCCTATTGTCGAAGTTAGTAACAAGTCTAATATGGAGGCTATAAATTCGATCAATAAACCTTTATATAAAAATTGAGTCTTCCTAATATACTTCGATATGAGAAAGTCATAATACTGCACGTTAATTTATAAAATAACTGTACCACTACGATAACTTTTACATTGGAACTACAAATAAACACAAGATTGTTATTATTAGTATAAGATTTTTATTCTTAATTTGATTAATTTGTTTATCTATTAGATAAAAATATTTAGAATATACTTTATCATCATTGCCCTGGTGAACCCAATTGCTTGTAATGTAATTTTGTTAAATTTCGAGTCTAGTTAATAGCACAACAATCTATCACAAGGCAAATAAATGTTTTATTTGAGCATTTATTTTTATCTAAATGTTATTATTATACAATATTATTACTATGTGACAATAAACTACGAAATACTATTTGAATGCGTTTTATTTGACTAAATCTCAGAGACGTCATTTAAATTTAAAGTCTATCAAAGTGTTGTTCTATTGTATTGTTATCGCAAAGAAAGCACAAGACAAGTAAATATAATCTAACTTTAAAAAGATATTATCATCTCTGAATAAGGCCGTTGTTGGTGTATTTTATTAATCGTAAGTGGGTTTATAAGTATGTGGACTTTCTGTGGAAATGAAAGTAAAAGCTGGTATCTGTTGTTACATTTATAAAGTATTAATAAGAATAACAATAGTTAGCAACGTGAAACTGGGGAACAAATTGCAGCCGCTGGAGTAAGCCATCGCGTACATAACTGCGTGATACACGTAGTGTTGCTCGTGCACGTTGTGAAATAAATGGGCATGCGGTCCTGTGGACAACATATAAACGAAAGATTTTTAGTAGGTAAAAATCTGCTCGTCCAGGTATTAGTCCAGTCAGTATTGTCGCGAAATCCGTTTTTCCTCAAACAGCTGGAACTATGCTAAAAAGTTTCTTAAGATAGTAAAGAACACTTTACATAGAGAAAAAAATGTTTCCAACCCCGGGCAAGGGTGAAAACCACCCTTAATAATCTATTTTTCCAATTATCTCAAAAAGTATACGAGATACGGAAAAAAACTTCAAATGAAAATTGTAGATCTTTTTGAAATCTACAAAACATTATTCCACCCTCTTGCCCCTATTTTCAATAGGGGAGCCAATAATCGAAGTCAAAGATTCAATACTTAAAAAGTTAAAGTTAGTTAAAAAAGTTATCTTTGACTTCGATTATTGGCTCCCCTATTGAAAATAGGGGCAAGAGGGTGGAATAATGTTTTGTAGATTTCAAAAAGATCTACAATTTTCATTTGAAGTTTTTTTCCGTATCTCGTATACTTTTTGAGATAATTGGAAAAATAGATTATTAAGGGTGGTTTTCACCCTTGCCCGGGGTTGGAAACATTTTTTTCTCTATGTAAAGTGTTCTTTACTATCTTAAGAAACTTTTTAGCATAGTTCCAGCTGTTTGAGGAAAAACGGATTTCGCGACAATACTGACTGGACTATATTAAACAGGGGACATGAAGCTGCGCCTACCGCTATTCTGGCGGACGCACTATACTACCGACACCCTAATAGCCGTGTCGTGATTCGTGACTAAGAAGACAATATAACAAACATAAATACTTCTTAATGCTATAATAGCACTTTATATTTATACAAACAAATGATGGATGCAAATACAATTTTTAAGACAGGAGGACATAGCGGAAAAGCCGCTAGCTGTCTTGCTCCATCCCATAGAAAAAATGACAATACGTCAAGGCTGTATCCAAAGAGGAATAAGAATAGAGTAGGGGGATATAGATTCTACTACAAGTGGAAGTGTCCCTCTAATAGAAAGAGAAGATGAGAGACCGCTAGCTTTCTCTCTCTAATCGCGCATGCGCATTGGCAACCGTAAGCATCGTACATTTCGATGTGACCCCATTGGCAGTGTTACCAACCCTTACCAAAATTTACCCCTAAGTATTTTTTTAAATTCCCCTAAAATCCCCTAAATATTATACAATTTTTTAAGTACCTACTTATTACCCAAATTCTTTCGTTGCTCATAAATTAAAACGTTACTTAATTAGTTACAGTAAATTATTTTATTGAATAAATACAGTTTCCGAAAGGACAATCAAACGAAAATGAGCTGACAGACTGTTAAATCCTATTTAGCTGTTTTTTTAACTTTAGTCCATACAGCTTTAGGAAACAACCCGCCACACAGTCAGTTCAGTCGTTTCATATCGTGGTGCGTTCCATTCTACGCACAAAACTGAAAGAAAACACACGCTTTGTTTTTCGATTTAATTGTAAGTTTTGATAAAAGTTCCTAAAAGAACCCCCAAAAAATTCTAGCCCCTAAAAAAGTCCGTTTTAAGACTTCTAGCCCCTAAATCTGGGGGCAAAACCCCTAAGTTGGGAACCGTGCCCATTGGATGCCATGCGTGACAAGTGAGAGAGATAGCTATCAGTCTCTCATCTTCTTTCTCTTTCTACTAGACGGACACTTCTAGAGCCGCCTTCCCCACTCTATTCTTATACCTCTATGGCTATATCTAGTTTTGAAGATAAGAGATTTAGAAAAATTGCTGCAAGTGGACTTTAATGTACCATAGCGCCACTAATGTTGCACTGACGTCACCCGTTAATAGTTCTAGGCATTCAGCACCAGAGGAGCTTATATCACTTCCATTCTTATCTTCCTCTATAGTACATTAAAAGAAGGGACTGCTGTCTTACAAAAAGCAATAGCCATCTGAATTGCCAGTATAAAATTCATAAGAAATTAGATGATTTTTAAAATAAGTATTGAGGCTTGTGGCCTCGTGGTGTTGAGTGTTAATTATGTCGAGGCAAGCATGTTGGACTTGGCGCGATTGGTGAGGTCACAAGTCGGACAGGAGTTAATTGGGTATAATGCCAATACCTATAATAGGAGTTAATTGGGTATAATGTTATTATTATCACACTAATATTATAAAGGCGAATTCTTTGTGAGTGTGTATGTTTGTTATTTCTTCACGTCTATACGGCTGGAGCGATTTTAATAAAATTTGGTATGGATTTAGCTGACACCCTAGATTAACACATAGCCTATGTGACATAGTCTACGTTATGCTGCGGGAAAATATCCCTAATAAACCGCGGGTAACACCGCGGGGCACAGCTAGTATTATATATATCAATCAATGACCTGCATGAAAAAATGTTCACCTACTCGTTTTCTTATATTTTCACGCACACTAATCATTAACTAAAACCGGTCATTTCCACTCGTAACCATTAGCTTTGATCCCTCCTGTGACGAGGAGGAATTAAAAAAAACCGATAGGTACGTTAACCCCCGTAACCCCCCCCCCCCCCCTGAAAACTTGCCTACATATCATACATGGTCAATAAAACATTTCATAACTGATATAGGTGCCCACGTCAGTCACATACACAGTTATTTTTACACGAATGTAAATGTAATGTTTTCAGAGTTCAAGTATACATGTAGGTATGTATTTACCCCTAGCGTAAATGGCGACATCTCCGCCGCCATGCGAATTTTCAACGAGTCTGATGCCGGCCACCTGGTTGTACAGCATATCGGTGGTATCGTTCAGGCTGGGGTCGCGTCTTCGGACAGTTGTCTCATTGTTCTCGTCTTTGGCCACGTAATATTGGAACGAGTTTGGTCCCCCGGTGCTGTACGATAACGTGGTGTAGTTTATTCCATCGTAGGGAGAAGATTCAGCTATCCCTAGAAAAGGAACGTTTTAGTGAAATTTTGGTGGGCTATGGGAGACTGGAATAAGTAGGTACAGACTACAGACAGCCGCAGACACAGAGCAAGTTATTCAGAACTGATCATTTTCTTTAACTTCGAGCCTTCAAGCACCGTCTAACTGTGGCCACGATTCCAATGCATACAAAGAAATTTGGTGACTCATTTCTTTGTCGCACTATCCGTAAATGGAATGCTCTGCCTGCTCACGTGTTCCCTCTTTCTTACAACCTGGGATCCTTTAAAAGAGGCGTGAAGTAGCAACATGCAGGCCGGCAAGGTGAGGATGGCTGGTGTGGCAGGTAGAACTGCTGTACCAGCTATCTTCACGTCTGGACTTCACCATCACTTAACATTTAGCATGAATGAAAGATTAATGCTTGCTTTCCTAAGCTTCCTAAACTTATCCTATGCTTTGATAGAGGTTTACCACCCCGTTTTTAAATTGCTTGATGAACTGTTAAATATTACATGGATCCTCTCTCTGGGGAGCAGTTTAAGGGAGCTAGTGAGAGTATGGTCAGCAGTGTTGCTTATTGTCGCCAACGACCTTATTCTCACTAATCTGCAATGAGGAAGACACACGTCTTCCTTATTGCACATCGTCATGGCCACCTGTAGATATCGTCATGGCCACCTTTAGATATCGCCATGACCCCATCGACCTTGACCGTTTCCTCCATAGCCCCTATTTCATCTATAATGATCATAGAGAAACTCTCAAGCACTGATTATTTTCGATCCTTCTTTCTTACCAAAAACATTGGATCCTCTGTCTGGGTACCCGTTAATGGAGAGAGTGTGCGTATGGTCGCTGGTTACAATAAGAAGTGTGTCTTCCTCGCTAGTCATTGCCATGGCCACCTTGACTGCGTCTTCCATGGCTGCTGCTTCATCAATGGCTACCTTTGCCCAGCCCCGGTGGTGTGCCATGTCTATGTTGCCGCCTTCTACCTTGAGACATGACAGAGTTTTAGCCGGATAAAAACCTGTTTATTTTTCTAACAATTGGAGCAACTTATCTTTTGTTTACCTTGATAAGAATACATGTTATCTACAGTGAAATCCTGTGTTTTTCTTGTAAAATGGAAGTACCTACTGCTTTACAAAAAGACCTATGGAATAAATTCCAAAATTTAGTTTTGAGGGATTTTTCTGGATATTTTCAACAACATGAATTATTTATATCACTATGAGTATTTTTTATAAATATTGATAATAATAATTATTATTATAATTTATTCCAGACCGTATAGTTCATATGAGGGTTAGTAACATTAAAACTTAGAAACTATGTTAGTACAATTGTATTTAAACTATTTTCTATGTTTGACGACCTCCGTGGTCGAGTGGTTTGTACGCCGCCCGGTTTCATGGTGTTGCCGACTCGAGAGGTCCCGGGTTCGAGTCCCGGTGGGGGCAGATGTTTGTGTGATGAATACGAGCATTTGAACTCCAGTCATGGATGTTTAATATGTATTTTCTATAAAAATATACTTATATATGTACAGTTTATGTATTCTATCCGTTACCCTAGCATCCCATAACACAAGCCTTATAGTGCTTACTTTGGGGCTAGGCTAATTTATTTATTAATATATTTGGAGACATGAGATTGTACCCAATGTCTCCACAACGGACTCTCCAATTTTCCTGCTATGACTAGAGTTGCCAGGCCATAAAATACAAAGGCCGGACTGCGCACTATATAAGGCCTGACATTTTGCCCTAAAAGCCGGACATATTTTTTTTATTGCCAAACATAATGTTTTTACAGCTGGGCTGTTGAAAAAAGTATTTATACGTGATGTAAAGTGAGAATGAGATCGAAGATGGAGTGTGTGCCAGATATATGCATATTCGATATTTATAATAAAATAACTCGTTTACGAATTTGAAATGTTTATTAACAAAAAGACTGACAAAAAGCCTGACAAAAGCCGGACAGGCCAAATACGTACATATTTGCCCGGACGCGACCGCAAAAAGCCAAACATGTCCGGCTAAAGCCGAACACCTGGCAAGCCTAGCTATGAATGACGGCCAAGATGCTGTTAGAGCTACCCCTGACTCTGCGCATCAGTGACGCTACTCTTTTGCGAATAATAGCGTAGTAATCGTCAACATGGGCATCAGGAAACATCGTTGATGCACTACAATATCGCGGCAGCCCCAACAGCATCCTGAACGCGTTATTGTATTGGACACACAGGCCGTTGATGACACGGCGCCTACAGTTTACCCACAAACTACACGTATAGAAGGTTTGACAATAGGCCCGAAACAACGTCACCTTAACTTGATCTGTACATCGAAACTCATAAAAATATTATATTTATTATATTATATTTACTATTGAACACTCACAAAAATGTAATCTGTAACTGAGGCTCTCATTTTAACTTGTTACAAAACCGTGCTCACCATAAGAAAGAAACCTTTTTCGTTCTTCCGCAAGACTTTTATTGCTGATTCCACCATGTCGGACAATGATGGCATGTCAGTTTGGTTCCTCTGATACTCGTAGCTGAGATGGCTAGCAGCAAATATTCCTGTACAAATGAATAAAAAAATGCTTTGAGCCTTAGCTTCTCCGTTTTGCTCCGTCCGTACATAATAAAGTATACTTTAGGACAAATGAATACTACTTGTATTTGCTCGAAACCCTAGCGAGGTGATTTAGCTAGCGGGGAGGCGAGCAATGTTTTTTTCACACAAACGTTCTCGCCTGATTCCACCTTGAATTTTATCACTAAAGAAATTATTTTCATAATTAAGTACCTACTTAAAATATATTTTTACTCATTCTATGCACCTATGTTCTTCTTTGTTTTTCATAGAAGCCCTTTACCTTTATCTGAGTTGATTATTATTCTTTAGTTTGACATCCAGTTATGCCAATATAAAGGACATAAATAGGTACCTAACTTTTCTATCCTTCACTATGTGTTATTGCTGAATATGCCATAATACCTAGGTATGTAAAATAACTTTATTCAAACATGCTTGGAAATTTGAGCATTACCTATATTGACAACTTTCTTCGACATTAATCGAAATTGCTGTACTAGCCACATACCTACAACTACATGCGAGCAGCGGCCGGCAAAAGATTTATGAAAATCCATAACTATCGTGCTGAGCAGTCAAATAAATCACACTAATATTATAAAGGCACACACAAGCCACATTTACACGCACTTCCATCAATGCCTCTTTTGCTGAACGCTACAGTAATGTACTAAAAGACTGATAGAGCTCCTAAGGTGTAAATTGCTCCCACAGCCATTGACGCAAATACACAATGCTAATTTGTTGGGTTGTGTAATTCCGTTAATTTGAATGATTTTTAAAATACCTACCCAAGAGGTAGTCATTATCAGGGTCGATGCTGCCCAACTCCGTTTTGTTCGAAACGACAGCGTATCTGAGACCGCGGCTACTCTTGTCCCTCTTGTAGTCTTCTATCAGGTTCCGACTGTCGTTCCTTGAGCAGACCCACGGGTTGGAGGATAGACTGGGCATGAGGCTGTTTCTACCGCCTCCTAGGATCACCTAAAATATAAGTTATTCCATCTACATTAGAAAGTATATACATATTTCATCTAGTGCGGTTGCTAGAACACTAAAAATGCGACAGACAGTAAAAATAATTAAGTATAGGATTTGATTACTTCCTCACCCAGTTACATTCAGCTAAACAATCATCCATCACATCACATATTTGGTATGGTTCGGATCACAGAACACAGAAAGGTTCGGATTTACGTAGACTCAAATTGAACTCGGTCTAGAAGGGATACTGTCTCTTTTATTTGCTAAAGAGAAGACAGAAGAAGAAGTTTTAACATCAGTCCCGTTGTTATTACAAGTGGACTAAAGTTTGAACTGGTCTAGATTGGGCATGGAATCAATGTTGTATATTATTTTTCTTATTTTTTTCAAGTGTGTTAGTAATAGTTACGTTAAGATTTTTGCCTGGTTCATCTTCAATCAATTGGCGGGCGATGTCTTTACACTGTTCAGTGCCAGTGGGCATTTTAGCGTCACATTCCCAATTCCGGTCCGCGCTGTGAGCATACAGCGGACCCGGTGTGGCGTGAGTCACCCTCATGGTAGTAACGAAACCTGCGAAACGAGAACAAGGAACTGATTTATTTACAGAAGGTTTATTTTTAAACACGGTTGCCAACAGTTTTGTGGCTCTAGCTGATGTTAAGAAGGAGTCGAGTCCGGTTGCAAAGATAGATGATGCGGTAGTGAAACCCTCACTTTGTGCGGTAGTGAGTGCTCGAGAGATCCTCACCGCACACATCATCATTTCAGCTGTATGACGCCTAATGCTGAGTATAGGCCTCCCCCCAATGATCTCCCCAAAAATGTTTGAGGAGATTTTGCCACAATCGCCTCGCTTGGCAGGTGGGTTAGCGATCGCAGTACAACCAAGATTCTGCAATGAGACGCTGCTGCTCATCTTCTGCTGGCTATGCTCCCTTAGTAGCCTTTAACGACACCCATGGGAGGAGAAGGGTGGTGCTATCGTAGGCTGGCACATATACGGTTCTGGTCACTTTGTTGGGCTGAACGTAATTCTCGTACTCCGTTGAACTCTAGTACATACATGATCATATTTCTTCAGGTCGTAAATAAATATATGCACAACAATCAGAATGTGACATGTTTAACACTGTGTCTTAAACGCGATTAAGCCAACTCACTTCGCTGTGCAGGATGTGACCTCACTTTTCAAGTGTATATTGATGTGTTTGCGTAATTCGCAGTTTCGGCAGCAGACTCGAAAAGCTAATGCAGAAGAATCTTGAGCTTTTATGTTTTCTGCTACCCTGAGGTAGTGCGAGTGCAAGTAGACGCCTGAGTGAAACTCGAGAATATATTCCAATTTAGAGATAATTTTCTTAAAAACCAAAGGACGCTGAAAGACAGCCTCGCCCTGCTCTAATGAAGGCTTCTAACGGAGCTCTTATACAGTTTACTCGATGTATATGTACCTGTACCTACCATTTTGTTGCTCCATGGCCCAATTTTGAGTCGGCGCAATTAGCCGACACAGCGGGCTCGAGTTACCTACTGAGTCGGCGCAAAGAAAATTTCGCCGTCTAAGTAGGTAAACGCCATGGTGTACCATCAATACAGCATGGTACGCTTCAAGAGAGGCTGAAATAGAGTGTTCCACGAAAGGCAACGGTACGGCTGTGTCACTGGCATTGCTGATGTCCATGGGCGACGGTGACCACTTAACATCAGGTGGCCCGTCCGCTCATCTGCCTTCGAAGGCAATAAAAAAACAACTTCCTCAGACAAGAACATTACAATTAAAGGCATTACCGGAACTTTTCCCAGCTTTGAGCGCTTGAGAAGCCAGTGACTCGAGTCTGGCTTCAGGCAGCAGAGACGCGGCGCAGTCTCCCCGTTTGACGCTGGCGTCCACTCCAATTGTATCCTTGTTAGTCTTCACACCACTAAAAAGCGCTGTAGCGCTGCAAGCGGAATCCGGCACCATTTTGTTCGCCGAGTATGTCTAATAAAAGGTTGAGTGAAAATGTAATAAAATACCCTTACTGCAATATTAGAATCGAGAATTTGCTCCTTAATAAAATTGGTTACTTTTTAACTTTTTGTAATACTTGGCCAGCTTTTTGTGTGAGTCATGTTGTAATTTCTGTAAGTTACAATAAGCCTAATGTCAATTGTTATTATACATGCTACAAAACGTTGCTTATCCCGATTCAGGGACATTACTTTTAAAACAGTTTTTCCGTGACATTACTATCAGCTAAATTTTGCCATTTTTGTATTGAGACAAACGTAAATTTCTTAATAAACAAATTATAGTAGGTAATTGTGTCGTGGTCGTCATTTTCAATATATTTAATATTGATAAGTTCCGATTGCCATCTGTAGTCATCGTCATCAATGCCACTGCATCAAAAGGCACTTTTCGAGAGAAAATTTAACTTTGAGGACGAGTTACTATAAAAATACCCAAATTACTATAGATGTGCCTATAATTTTTTAACTGTTATCTCGATTTCTCCAGGATCCCATAATCATATCCTGATTTGGTGAATTTGGGATCACCTCGGGAGCGTAACTTTATAAATAAAAGAACTTTAAAAATCGGTTCTCAAGTCACTAAAATATAGCCGAACAGCACAAACAAAACATAAATACACAACGAATATAGAAAAAAATCCTCCTTTTTGTCAAATCACAATTCGCGTATTTTACGCTTGTACACCTACCTTCAATAATCCCATGTGTGGGAACTTCTCAAATGCCAATCTGTAGCTTTCTCCCCCCTTGTAAATTCTGGTAGCAGTCACAGTATTCGGTCCCATACCATCGCCAACAAACAATATGACGTTCTTCGCTGTGCCTACATTCCATTTGATTTGTTTTGCTTCTTCTAACTCTTTCTTGGCCAGATCTTTCCAGAACTGCTGATCTGTTGACAAAGGTATCATCATTGAATAAGGATATTACAGTCTATCACATCACGGGGCAAACACTTAGTGCTCCAAAACTTATAATAATATTCACCAATTAAAAATTAGCTTAGCTTCATAATTCTTGATATATTTTTTGCAATCAATCCAGATGCACAATACATATCGTCGTTGTCAAACCAACATCTGATATCTGCAAAATATAATACTAACATGGCGATATTTAACGATATTGTGGCTGATAAACATAGCATATCTTTAGAATCAAACTCTGTTCACCGTTATAATGCTAAAGATTCGCATAGCAGTCTTTGTAGCTGTCATGATGGAAATAACGAAATCTCCAAAAAGTGCACATAGCAGATATTGGTTTGACAACGATGAATGTAGCCCCCGCTATGACTTCGTTTGTTTAGGAATTAAAGATTAAAGACAGGGAGAAACCAAGATTTTAGGACTGAATGTTAAATACTACGTAACTTTTTTTGTTAAATATTAACTGGGACCTTAAATTATTGTTATAAAAGTCGTATTTTTTTAACATTAATTTTAATTTGTTACTAAGTTATTATAATCAGCTTTCGGCTCCATCATCAGACCCTTTATATTACCAAGGACAAGATATCACCTTAGTATGACCACAAAAAGAAACGAACAGCCAATAATAAGTTTCAAAACATTACACTCCTCATTAGCTTTCGCATAAAAGTTATTGTAGTTGGTTCTGTGGAATCCTTTTTAAGCAGTAAATGATTTTCATTATTAACTTCAGGCGTAAAAAAAATGCTGTGTAACAAAAAATGTTAGTTTGTATATACCTCTAAACAAGGTCAAATAAACTTTCCATATTAGTTTCGTTACATTATTAAAGTATGAGCTTAAATAAAATAGACTAGAAGAAATCATTACCCGTTCGTAGAGACCAGGTAGTGGACAGGAAGAGCACTGTTAACACCACAGACACCGAACTCATGATTAATACTACCGGTACCGATGTATGGATGGCGTGGCGGCGGCGACGCACGCGCATACAATGAATGAGAAACGTATAGGGCTGTCTTTAAAACAAAATAAAATAGAAACTGTCATTTTCGTGGAGTCACCACGAAAATGACGGGTTCAATTTATTACGTTTTAATTTTTATTTGATTTAAATAATAAGATGCATTGTGTTTTATCTTTGGTCATTATAATGTCTATTTAAATTCTTAGTAAATAGGTATTAATTTATTTAATACAATTTGCGTATTCCACGATAAAGAAATAAGTATCTCATTGGATCCGTACTTACAGTAAGCTGGTAACAAAATAGGATCGAGCGTGTGGTTTTTTGGAAAAGGTGAAGTTCAGGTGAGAAGGAGTAAGAATCAGAAAACACAAGGTGGTATTAGACCAGATGATAGAATGTTGTTGTTGTGGGCGGCTCAAATTTGTTAGTTACTTTAACAGCGCCAGGGCCGGATGTGTGTGGGGCCTACGGGCAACGAAGGAGTGGAGGCCCCTTTTTTTGTCGCACAATGTACAACCATTGAACTAAATATGTACTTATAGTTATAATAACAATGATTCCTAATTCGTTGTAAGATAATAAAACCAAATTCCGGCCAATTCTCAATTTTATCAGAGGTCAACTGTTTTTATTTGGATGTTAGTAAATCATCACTGTAAGCCTATAATTGTTCCTACTGCTTCCCACAACTGAAGCACAAGCCAACTCTATGGAAGGTAAAGCCAGATTGGGCATAATTGGGGGTTGTAATTACTGCAAATGCAGCCAAGATCAACGTCTACACTGGCTTTATGAAGTACGGACTGACTTGAAATAATAAATTTTTGGTCACCCATCCTATGGTGGACCATTGCGAAAGTTGCTTGAACTCCACGACCTCAGGTCGAACGCACTTATCACTGTGCCCACAAGTTCCTCATTTGAGTGTTAGTAAATAAAATGTTATTAGTAGATTTTATTCTACTACCTGGCTTTGCGACAACCTTGATGGATGGAGGAATCATTCGTTCACTCGTTGACGAATGCCTGATTGATATAGCTCATTCTTAAAACCTTGATTGTAACGTACCGACGTCCATATCGTATCGTATTTTTGTCTAATTCACAGTCAATCAACATGCCGTCTACCTACAAGTGTGTACAAAAAACTCATTAATATTTTTAAATTTTCGGTTGCATTTCCTTGAATAACAATAACCAAATATAGTTAAACTAGAAATTATATTGATGATCAACACAATTATCGCTCGCTATCTTGTTAAGAATACATGAGTGAGACAGTTTTATCCTGACATTTGCAATTAATATTTTTTATCGTAATTTCCCGCAATCGTAATCCGTTTTTTTACAATTTTCCTGAATTATTTTGAGAGATGAGCTCACGTCGTGGAAGCGATGACGATGATTACAAACAAAATTCATTGTACGGCAGCAGCTGAAATAATAACATAGAAAAACCTACTGCTTTATTACTGCTTAATATTGTATTTATCAAAAGAGTATTACCCAAAAATAAATCTTCAATAATTTGCCGTAGCAGGGATAATCTTCTTCACCGAAAAAAAAACAACTTCTATGATCTTCTTAGATAAATACTAGGTACCTATATAACTATTTATAAATGCAATCATCATCATTATCATCATAAGCCTATTAATGTAACCACTACTGGGGCACAGGCCTTCCCTATGGACGGAATAGGGAGATTGGGCCATGACCTACCACGTGGGCCCAGTGCGGACTGGTGGGTGCTAACGAATGCAAATGCAGCAGTGACCAACGGCTTAACGTACCTTCCGAAGCACGGAGGAGCTCTAGATAGTGCATTCTTGGTCACCCATGCAATTACCAATCTCTGCGAAAGTTGTTTAACTTCAACGATCGCAGCCCAAAGCGCTAACCACTTACGCCATCGTGATTTATGCAATGTATTAACTTAAATTGTAAAAAACCAAGAATAACAAAAAATATGCAACAGTATGAAAGGTCTGTATCAAAGCAAATGATTAGAAAACGGCTTTTGGTTTGTAATGGATTGCTGAAGTTATATTATATCGTGCTATAATGCTTCGGTATAAAAGTACAGACAGCAACACATAAAGTTACCACAAACCTAATATCTCAATGGTTTGTAAATCGCATGTGAATCAATAAGCTCAAAATACACCTTGAAGGCCGGTTATGTGAGGATGTCAATTGTAGTAGGTAAAATTGATGCACCAGTTATCTTCTTGTCTTGACCTAACACCAGTCATTAACAGTCGGACCTTTTTAAAAAAAGGGTTATTGCCCTGCGGCTGCCCGTAAGTGCCTATAATAATTACGTTCTTCTTTTAAGAGTAAAACTATTGCCTTCTGCCAACCTTCTGCTCATCAGTATGGTGTGGTCCTTAGGGCACGCACACACGCTTGTCCTAAGGCACCCTGGCTGATATTGATCGCTACAGACTCCATTGCGCAGGGTCGCTGCAACCCTTCTTAAGGCGAAGACTATAACGTATTGTTATACCATTGAGATTGTTAAATGGAAAACAATAAAGAAACTATATTTTTTTATAGTTTCTGCTAATATGCCTCAGAAATACGCGAAATACAACATATTAAATAACCACTGTGATTTTTTTTTCAACGAATTATAAATTTTGTGCTCAGCAAAAGAAATTTGACAACTTTCTATAAATAAAACTAGTTTTTACGGGTTAATGCACGAAACTTTATTTATTTATTGACGTTTCGCAGCCTTTTCAGGTCTGCATCGTTTTAAAATTAAAAATTAATAAAATTTTAAATAAAAAATCATTATTCTGACGATGCAGACCTGAAAAGGCTGCGAAACGTCAATAAATAAATAAAGTTTCGTGCATTAACCCGTAAAAACGAGTTATTTAATGAGTGATGTGCGTGAAAACCTAAGAAACAAACTTTCTATAACTTAAGTTCGGGCTGTCCCTACGAAAAAATACTAAGATAAAATAACACTATCTGGAATGCTGTATTCTTGTAAGAAGTAAACTTTTTACTGTACTAAGAGACGGATGGCTTATTGCTGTCTAACTTTACAACTTCTGTAATCGTCTCCAAAGCTAAAATAAGTGTTTTGATTGATTTGAGGTAATCTATTCCTTAAATCTTAAATAACCGGGTTCGCGAAAGGAGTCACTAAAAGTTATATAACCAGGTTCCGAGTTCAGGTCATCATGGTGGAGGATGGAAAAGGATGAAAAAGTGGTGCACATAAATCGGCACTACATTTAATACCAAAAGCAGGAAGATTTGTGGACCTGCTATGAAAAAATAACTATAAAGAGAAGGAGTTACTATAAAAATAAAAAAATAAAGAATGAAATTAGCTGCCAATTACCAAATTTTCGTTGACCTGCCCCTTAATAAAATTCGGAGACTTCAATCAAAGTTAGTCTTACAGCCTGAAGTTGTTCCTTACAATGCGATTGTGAAACGAATGTGTATTAAAATGATTTTTTACAAATAACAGAAGCGTATGTGTGGTTCATAGTGCCAAAAGGCCATTCGTTTTGTGACTGATCAACTATCTAGAAGATGGTGAGTATATCTTTTTAGTAAGAATTTTAAATCATTTTAGCTGTCATCATTTTTGAGTGAAAAACGGAATCTATTCACCGTCCTTCTATACCATTATTTAAAAAATAGTGCTTGCAAATTTTAAAGAACTGATGTCTTGTGCCTTACTTATTTTAATAATATAATCAGAATAAATTAAACCAGTCAGTAATAATTACCTACTTGGCCCATTTGCACCAAAGTTCATAAATGAAATTAAAACCAGAATGTTGATTAAATTTAATAAAGAAATAAAAAACCGGCCACGTGCGTGTCGTGCCACGCTCTATGTAGGGTTCCGTAGTTGCCTGTAGTTACCACAGAATTGAGCAGGAGTCTTTATTTTCTATATCGGAAATTAGAAAAACCAATTATGTAATATCAATCCATGTATCTCAACTAAAATACCGAAATCAAAGTTAACTGCATCTTAAACTCAAAATCAATTCGATGTTATTATTTTTTTAAATACGAATGATAACCACCGATTTTTTTTTTGTTTCCTTCCAAGCGGGGGAGCGGTTGTGAAATCCTCACGGATACCTACAGCCGGCTGCAAGGTTATGTCAGACTGTTATTGACTAAAACACATTAGGCTTGTTGAAAATATATCGATGTATTGATATATCGATATTTTTTGTTCGATATATCGATATTTTTTGCCGATATATTTTGATTCGATATATCGATACATCGATACAAAATAACCAAACCAAAAAACGATATTTTTTTAATTATTAGCGGCATATCACGAACTAAATTCGTATCTGGAAAAATCGTAACTGGATCTCAGAATAATCATATTCAACATATCTATGATCTGTGCTGTATTATAATTGTCTATGATTTGATAATCTGATTCGCTGGTGAATTGGTTGTGCTGAATTCCATTATATTCTGTGGAAGTGTGTGACTGTCTAGTCTTGTTTACGAAAGAGGGCACCTGAGAGGCCCTGCAAGCATTTTCATCATTCGAAAATAGCATCTATTTTTAGGGTGATAATTTTCGTTCCATTATTAGTCCGCGTGTCATCTTTCGTGAGATACTGTTCTGTCATGTAGTGTAGCGGCAATTTGGTACTTTGATAGATAAATTCTTTATTGCACACACACAAAAGAATACAAAACAAGTAAACAATAACATAATGTGGGCAAAGGCGGCCTTATCGCTTTAAGCGATCTCTTCCAGACAACCTTTGCGGTAAAGGATAACTAAACGGAGAGGAAGTTGCAGTATGCTAGCAAGATAAAATAAAGAAATGTACATATTTTCTTAAACATATAAAAATTAAAAACAAATAAATAACATATACCTACACAAATAAATACATACTATATTTTTGGGAAAATTGGTCCGATATATCGATATATCGATGTTTTTTTCGCGATATATCGAAGCCGATATTGATACTTTTTAAAATATCGATGTATCGATATATCGATATTTTTTTCAATTTTCGACATCCCTAAAACACATCCGTAGTTCATGCTTATGGCCAAAAGGGCCAAACAAGCTTTATCTGAAGGGGATGATGCGGTATAACCGCATTAACCGCAGAACTTTCAAGTGCTTATATACTTTTTAAAAAACGTAACGTTAGCGCGACTCAGAAGCCGTTACCGTTGGTACTCGCGGTAGCGTTGTGGAAGTAATGATATTTTATTGTGGTTTTAAATAGTTTGTTTTATATTTTGTTGTAATGCAAGGTTTTGCGCTACAATAACTTCATCTATGTCACTATTAATGTTTTTTTCTTCTAAGGAATTTTCAATAGATAAGAAATTTTCTCTAACGAACGTGAACGATCATTACTCTTAAACTAACAAATCTATCGTAACCGTTATAGTTTTCCTTAAAAGTTCAGAAAAAGTTCTCCACTTTTATCATAAGTTTTTCAAGTTTTTAAAGCCAATAGTTTAGCTTTTAGAGGGGGGGGGGATGCTCCTACCAAATAATTTTCATACTTTTATTTCGCTAGAATAAAACATTATAAATATATCTGATTAATCTTTGTATTCAATTTCAAATGTGGGCAAAGTAGATTCCTAAATAATATATGTTTTGTTCCCAAAGACTGCCTTCGACGCAAGCCCACGATTGAAATCCGCGAAACGCCCTGGTAACCAATTTCGAAAATACTCTTACCTTTAAAACTAAAGATATTTTTACTAGAAAAAAATACACCAGTAAGATTTTCTTTAGATTTAAACAACTAGGTTGCAATTAATTCAAAAACTAAAAAACATCCAGATCTTAACTATGACTTACAAACGCTATAAAAAAATTGCAGCATTATACTAACAAACGTTAAGCGAGAATATGAGCGATCTGAATTCTAAAAACACAAAAAAAACCAAAGGAACCATCGAATAATCTCATAAAAAAGTCACAAATCCAGACCACAAAGCTTCTCCCTCTGCAGAGCTGTTGACTACATCTAATGATCTGCAATGGGCTATTCATTCGGTCAATTGATTTTTTACTAACGTGGGCACAGACTTGGCTACTAATATAATTGACGGCACTTGTGATGTGTTACCTATCAGTATTCCCAGGGAATCCGATGTTTCCGTGTCGGGCTCCATGGTATTGCTGGACACTGATTTTAAGGAAATTCTTAGGACTTAGGCAAAATTGCGCTACTGGCTGTGATGGTATTCCAACATCCCTAATTAGGGAATCAAGCCATATTTGATTCCTGTTCTCAAATATGTGTTCGAAATATGTTTTTATACGGGCACTTTCTGGACAGTGTTCAAAAAGGCTTTGGTTCATACCAATTATAAGAATCGAGACAGATGCAGTGTCAATAATTACAGATCAATATCTGTCTTGCCAACTTTATCTAAAATTCTAGAAAAGCTCTTAAAACTATTACATTATTTAGATGATAATAATCTTATTGCTTCTAATCAGTTTGGTTTTAGGTCTGGAAAATCAACGGAAGACGCAGTTATAGAACTAACCAGCACTGTAGTTAAAATCTTGATATTAAACTATAGGCATTGTTTATATTCCTTGATCTCACAAAAGCTTTTGAGACTGTATCTGTTTATATTTTTTTCTTAACTCCAGAGAATTTGTGTACGGGGTATTGTACTAAAAATGTTCAAGAGCTATCTTTGTGATCATACTCAATGTGTCACAATCTCAAACGAAATTACACTAGTCTATTTGAATAAATTACGTATGGTGTACTGCAGGGTAGTGTCCTGGACCCGATTCCGTTCCTGATATACATAAATGATTTGCGTCAATTAAAACTACCAAAAGCAAAATTGTAACATATGCTGACGACACGGCTATCATTGTTCATGGACAGAGTTGGGAGGTGGCGCATTCATATCCGGAATCTTCGTTGCGTTCTACCATGCTATGGTTGTAACGTAACCTGCTTACATTAAATTTAAATAAAACAAAGTTTCTTACATATTTTCCTAAACTATCACCGCAACCAGAGTCATCTTTTGCAATAATTGCTCATAAATGCACTATACGTCTATTTGTTCCTGTGTCTCAATATCACACGCTCACAATATTAAATATTTATAGGTATTACAGTTGACAGTACTATGTCATGAAATGAATATATAAAAAGTACTACGGCGCGTATAAGAAAACTTATCTTCGTTTTTAGTAAGTAATGTGTTGGCGCCGATCTGGCTACTCTAAGGACTGTTTATCTGCTGCGCTGTTGTTCAGTCTCTTATGACATACTGCGTTACAATTTGGGTTCTGCCGGAAAGACTAAAGTACTACTGCTTGAAAGAGCTCAAAGAGCGGTGTTGAAAGTTTTGGCCTCTAAGCCAGTCAATATCCAACCAACGAAATACTTGGATTTTGGGAAGTTCTCTCCGTACGCAAAATGTTTATCTTAAATGCAGTTCTTCGCAAACACAAACCTCTTACATATGATTAAAAAAAAATGATAAATAAACGAAAAAGGAACAAAGTATGTTCTGTGGCCGGTCGTAGATTTGTATTGGCTAAACCCCATTATGACATAGCTCCCTTGCTGTACAATAAAATAAATAAAACATTGAACAGTTATCCTCTCTCAGTGTAAAATGCTCTTGAGTAAGAGGCTACTAAGGCCCGTATTACAGAATGACAACTAAGTGTGGATCTTTACTTGAGTACAATTAGTGAGGGATGTCGCTATGTGCTATATATAGCGACATCTCTTTCTAAATATGCTCAAGACTAGATCAATCAATGAGAATCTTTCTATAATACGGGCCTTAATCTTGATTACGATTTGGTAGAAAATTTTATGAAGTACTGTAACAGCTACACACAGACACACACACATGAGCAGAAAATCCGTTATGGATTTTCCGCTCGAATCGCAGCGCCCGTCTGGGGAACTAACCTCCACCTTACAGAAGACCACAATAAAATAATACTACCTTTTGATAATGTGTTTCTGTCGGTGAGTAAAATTCCATGGCTCCATGGAGTAGGGGATTGAATCAGGGTAAGCAATGCAGCGAGTGTTTTTTTTATAGCGAGGTAGGCAAATGGCTCTACCCCACCTGATGTTAAGAGGACAAGTGGTGATAAAGTCCAAACACGAAGGTAGCTGGTACAGCAGTTATAAACTGCTACACCAACCAATCTTACCTTGCCGGCCTGCAAAAATGCTTCTTTACGGCTTTCTTAAAGGACCCCACATTGTATGTATTTTTGGTATCACAAGCGTCTATAGGCTATGGTGGCCGCTTACCATCAGACGGCCATACGCGTGATTGCCACCCTTTTTACATAAAAAAGCCAGTCTTAGCTTGCCTTTAGCAATCGCTATTACGTCACCTTGTACAGGGTAGTACAGTTTTTACACGACAGACTCAGCAGTATTAGCAATAATTTTTCAATTAACTCTACCTTACGCTGTCTCTCGCTAGACGACAGAGTGTATAAAGTGATTCAGAATATTACTGCACTAACTCAACGTTGCGTTTGGCATTAGTTAATTAATGTTTATAACATGGCTTGGTCTGAGGAGTTAGCGCGTAAATAGTTAGCGCTTTCGGCAGCGATCGTTGAAGCTAAACAACTCTTGCAGTGGTCGGTCATTGGAAGGGTGATCGAAAGTTACTATCTTGACCTCCTCCGTGTTTCTGAAGGCACGTTAAGCCGTTGGTTCTGGCTGCATCTGTAGTCGTTACCACCCACCAATCCGCACTGGGTTCGCGTGGTGGGTCATGGCCCAACCTCCCTATACCATCCATAGGGAAGGCCTGTGCCCGCTGGGGACATTAACAGCCTAATAAATGATGATGATGATAATTGGGTCTAAGCTATAGTACTATTGTCAGAAAAAAGGTAACAACTTTCCACCCTTCGTGTACACAGAAATTCTAATTATTTAGCTCCGTTTGTTGGTACTTATGTGTAAAATATTGAAAAAAAAAACATACCTGGGTTTTTTCTTTACAAATAACTTACTTTTTTATTACTTACAGGCAAGAATGGAGCTTCCGGTATTGGATAAATTTTGCTTCATATTCGACTTGAAGACAGGATGCATCACAATGGGCATATTGAATTCCGTGAGTGTTGAACTCGGCTTAATTTGAGATTCTATTGAATATAGGTACCGGCATCGGGCCGATTTGGCTGATTCCTTTAGGGAACTAATTTTTTGAGCTGTTATTTAAATATTCGAGATGTATGTACGACATATTGAGCTGATATTTAATTTAATGGCGGATTAATTATTGCGACAGTAATAAAAGATCAATTAGTTAGCGGTTATTTTATCATACAATGTCAATTCTAAAAATAATTGAGCAGACCAATAACTGAATGAGTGGTAAAAATGATGGAATTTGCGGTTCGATAAATAGTTCGGCAGATCATAGCGAGCGGTGACACTCGAACTCAAATATATCTTGAATAGAGAGGAGGAAAGGGTGACCTGCTCTTATTATACAATAAGTTTATTTTAGCTCCTACTAAGCAAATTCTATGTCATTTTAATTACTTTAGTATATTTCGAATTACGAATAAAAGTTCCTATTATTATTATACAATTTGTTTTATTTAATTCCTTCAGTCAAAGCAATAGTAATTACATTTTTCATTACTATTTAAGTACTGTTTTTCTTTAAGTTTTTAACCACCTCATTGTTTACAGAATTGCTTAAAATTAGATTTCTTACCGACAAATTCGGATTTATTACTGCCAACACGTAACCACTCGTTCAATATTTTTTACCACCCATTTAATTATTTTCCTGCTCAATTATATATTCACTGATCCATTTCATTATTTTTTATTACTCATTTTTGATTACTTTACTGCTTAGTTTTAACTGCTGAACTAGTTATTAAACGTACCATTTATAATTTTTAACTTACCAAAACTGCTATTTACAACTGCCTCTTTAAATGTGCCAGTGCCATTAATTTATACGAGGCGCGGAACGAAAGAGAGGACGGAGACAGTAAAAGAGGGGATTTCGGACTCGCAAGACATTGTGGGTTACCTATAATGCGAAGAGATGGCGCTGCCTTGCAGCTTAAGAATGGCTAGAGGAATTTCGACGCGGTCCGTGAGGGCCGCGGTAGCATAATTGGTCAGTGCATTCGCCCGGATTGCGAAGGGTGCGGGTTCGAGTCCCGTCTGCTGCCTGGTCCGCGTGGAATTTTTTCTAGTTACATTTTCTTTAATTTTATATAGTTTTTCTTAACATAAACAACAGTCATAACACTATTTGTGGCACTTTATTCGTAATAATTCTTATATAAACATGTAAAATTTTCTGATAGAAAGACACATCATACGTTAATATGCTTTTCTGGAAACACGCCCACTTTGTAGCATCACAAATGTGGCACTATTCACACAATGACGAAGTGAGCGAAGCGGCCCGGTGAGAGAACTTTGCGTCATCTAGCGGTCACTATGCGCCACACTATAACGTCGATTTTACAGCCGGGCATATAAAAAATTTGCTATATTTTAATGCTTGAAAGATGTCAAAACACACCTAACATGTGTTATGTCACTTTTTTGCCGAGAAGCGATATGTATTCTATCCGTTACCCTAGTATCCCATAACACACAAGCCTTTCATCAGTGCTTACTTTGGGGCTAATAGGTGTGTGTTGGAAATATTTATTTATATTAATTATTTCTTTAGGAAAAAGCATGTGCAAAGCTCCTAGCTACAAGGATAAAATAAAAATTTGTATTGTGTACACCCCATTGCCTACCTACATCTCGGTTTGGATTTGGATGTTTGAAAAAAAGTTCTGTATGTTAATGTGAACATTCTTCATCTCAATGTTTTTTATTATTTTTAAGCATTTAACTGCTAAATGTTTAAATTAAATTAAGATGATTAAATGTAAATCTGCAGATTTTTAAACATATGTACCTACATCTGTACACAGATGATTTGAGGTTAAAGTAACCAAAATCAAATTGTTCTCTTTTATTCACTTTACCTTACACCCTTCGATTTATTGGATACTTATTGAAAGCGTCGTTCACTAATACAATATGACGGCGCGTAAACCATCGTTGGAGCGTAACATCCCCTTATTTGAGTGTTGCCAATGCCGTAGGTCGTAAAACAAACAGGCACCAAAGCCTTTATTGTTCGACATAAATCTACTCAACGAGATACTTACTTACATAGAGTGGTAACAATTGGAAATCTTGAAAGTCAGACGGAGAATAAAAGTGAGGTGAAAATTAGGCGAATTGCAAATTATACTAACTTACAACGATTGAATATCTTTGTAACACATACTTAGAATAATGATTTAGCTTCCATCAAGTATTTGAAATTGATCCTCCTCATCGAGAGAGACTGTATGAATAGGTATGTATGTATATACTTTTTTGTCTTTCACTACTCTTTTTAAGCATAAAAAGAGATAATAAAGACCTTAATGACTTATGGTGGTAAAGTTTATAATAGTCCCTCTGAAGCATGGTAGTAGAACATCGTTACTTGGCTAAGACTACGTGGATCTCTATGTATGCGTTTACCTATAGTCTATAATACATTTAACGTGCTTTTATGAATAATGGACTAGCCTAGTCATTGTAATAGTCGCAATCAATATAAATACTAGAAAAAGCCAATGAATTAAGAAAGAGAAAATGTTTTTTGGAGTCATATTAGAGATATGCATAAAAGTTAATAAGAATTTAACTATTCTCTAGATTTTGACCTTCGCATAAGCAAAAATATGTACCACTATCAAAAAACACCGTTTTTTATATATTACATTAATATTTAATACTAATATTTGTATAAAATTTGTATGATTGTAACGTATAAACTCAAACTACTGAACCGATTTCAAAAAGTCTTTCACCATTAGAAAGTTACATCATTCCTGACTACTACCTCCCTAGCATAAACAATGGGATATGATATTTTTCCGTTTTTATACGCATTCATCGCGTTTTTATGATAAAATGAAAATTGCGGTGCTCATGCTACGGGGACTGAGTGATATATATGACGACGAGTAGGTAGCCCTCGGATCGGAGAGTTAGCTCATGTCCATCTATGTCGCATTAAAAACAATTTCCCCCGTGCAAAGCTGGGACAAACCGTTAGTAAATATAAAAATAAAATAACTAATAATAAAATAATAACTAAGAGCAGACTTAAAAAAATATGAAAATGAGAAAATAAGATTAATAATAATTAAAATTAAGGCCCGTAATTTTGAACTTTCAAACAATGAATATAACCTCCGTTAATGCATTTTTTGTGGAAATGTGGTGAAAATCTTATTCTTTTTAAGTCGATTTTATTTTTATCTAAGTATACTAATATTATAAAGAGGAAAGATTTGATTGTTTGTTTGTTTGTATTGAAAAGGTTTTGAAACTACCAAACCGATTTGAAAAAATCTTTCACATTTAGAATCCTACATTATTTCTGATGAACATAGATTATAGAGTATTTTCAAATAAGTTAGGGTGCCATATGAAAAGTTTGATTATGTAACCCAATGTGTGAAAGAAATACCAATAAATAACCATATATCACGTACGCTACGGAAGTCATTTAAGGGTTTAGGAAGTTCTATAAAGGACGTAAATACATACAAAAGTCCACGATTTAAATAAAACTAGTTTTTACGGGTTAATGCACGAAACTTTATTTATTTATTGACGTTTCGCAGCCTTTTCAGGTCTGCATCGTCAGAATAATGATTTTTTATTTAAAATTGTTGAGCTACCTTCGAAAGACTTATATTGAGCGTTCGGTTATTTCATTGGAAGATTTTTAAAATTTTATTGTCTATGAATTTATTAGTTAATTTAGTTAATAAAGTACTTTATTTAAAATTCTTTTTTGCAATTTTGACTTTATTTATTTGACCCTAACTACCGTAAACTACCACCGGTTCCAAAATTGGGAGACCTTCCTGAGAAGAACCGGCGAAACAAACTCAAGAGAGGCTTTCTATCTCCTTCTTATGTTAAATTATGCAAACAAAAAGAACTAATAGTATCTGTTGGTCTTGCAGTGTGTGCTCGGGGTTGGAATTTTATCTCTTGTACAATGGGTTCCCAAGCTGGTGATATATATCAACCATTTTCCCTATTTTTCTATCTTCGATATTTTTTAATCTCAACAGCCTCGCGCATCATTCGAGGAACGAACCGTCGCTCAGCTGCAAGGATCTGTGGTCTATCAAATCTAATGTAGTGGTTTGGTCCCCCGAATGCATGTTCACACACTGCAGATTTATTTTCGCGCCTATGTTTCATATCTGCGATATGTTCTGTTACCCGAGTCCCTATACTCCTCTTTGTTTGCCGGATGTAGGAGAGCCCACAGTCGCATTCAAGTTTGTAGACACCAGCAGCTTGAAAGGGTATATTGCACTTGACCGGTCGTAGAAACTGGTTGATCTTCTTTGGCGGCTTGAAGTATGTATTGATTGAAGCACGCTTCAGAATCCTCCCAATCTTGTCAGTGACTCCTTTCATGTAAGGTAGTATAGCAGGTTGTCGGTCGACTGTGCTAGGTTTGGCGCGACTGTGACGGCGACGTGGTACATTCAGGTTATTATCCTTCAGTACTTGCTCGACATGCTGAAGTTCAGCTGCCAGGTGTTGTTCGTCACAGACACCCCGTGCTCTCTGAAACAAAGAGTTTCCTACGGCAGTTAATTGTTTCGGGTGATGGTGTGAGTCACCATTGAGGTACCTATCAGTATGAGTCACTTTACGATACACAGTATGGCTTAAACTTTGGTCAGGATTCCTGATTAATAAAATATCTAGAAAAGCTAGTTTACTATCTGCCTCTAACTCCATAGTGAATAGGATGTTGGGGTGTATAGAGTTAAGGTGATTTAAAAAGGCAGAAATTTGATCTGTTGGGAGGATTGTGAAAGTATCATCTACGTACCGCTTATATAGCCTGGGTGTGACAGGTGCTGCGCTGAGAGCCCTCTTCTCGAAGTCTTCCATAAAAATATCGGCGACAACAGGTGAGACAGGGGAACTCATCGCAACACCCTCCATTTGTACATAGAAGTCATCCCCCCATAACAGGTAGCCAGAAGTAAGGCAATGCTCCAGTAATACTGCATATTCTATAGGCATATTATTTTCAAGTAGCTTCTTCTTAGTGATTTCAATGCAGTCCTGTACTGGTAGGCATGTAAATAAGGACTGAACATCAAAACTGACCATGATTTCATTGTCCATGAGACGTTGATCTCTAATCTCATTGACAAATTGGTATGAATCTTTCACAAAGGCTGTTGTGTTACCTCTCAGTGGTGAAAGTAACTTTGCTACGTGTTTAGCCAAACGGTATGTTGGTGAATCAATCTGGCTTACAATCGGTCGTAGCGGAGCATTCGGTTTGTGTATTTTCGGTCACCCATACCTACCACAGTCGACCGACAACCTGCTATACTACCTTACATGAAAGGAGTCACTGACAAGATTGGGAGAATTCTGAAGCGTGCTTCAATCAATACATACTTCAAGCCGCCAAAGAAGATCAACCAGTTTCTACGACCGGTCAAGTGCAATATACCCTTTCAAGTTGCTGGTGTCTACAAACTTGAATGCGACTGTGGGCTCCCCTACATCGGGCAAACAAAGAGGAGTATAGGGACTCGGGTAAAAGAACATATCGCAGATATGAAACATAGGCGCGAAAATAAATCTGCAGTGTGTGAACATGCATTAGGGGGACCAAACCACTACATTAGATTTGATAGACCACAGATCCTTGCAGCTGAGCGACGGTTCGTTCCTCGAATGATGCGCGAGGCTATTGAGATTAAAAAATATCCAAATTTCAATAGGGAAGATGGTTGGTATATACCACCAGCTTGGGAACCTATTATACAGGAGATAAAATCCCAACCCCGAGCACACACTGCAAGACCATCAGATACTATTAGTTCTTTTTGTTTGCATAATTTAACATAAGAAGGAGATAGAAAGCCTCTCTTGAGTTTGTTTCGCCGGTTCTTCTCAGGAAGGTCTCCCAATTTTGGAACCGGTGGTAGTTTACGGTAGTTAGGGTCAAATAAATAAACTCAAAATTACAAACAAGAATTTTAAATAAAATACTTTATTAAGTAAATTAAATAATAAATTCATACATAGACAATAAAATTTTAAAAATCTTCCAATGAAATAACCGAACGCTCAATATAAGTCTTTCGAAGGTAGCTCGACAATTTTAAATAAAAAATCATTATTCTGACGATGCAGACCTGAAAAGGCTGCGAAACGTCAATAAATAAATAAAGTTTCGTGCATTAACCCGTAAAAACTAGTTTTATTTAATGAGTGATGTGCGTGAAAACCTAAGAAACAAATAAGTCCACGATTTAATATATATCTAACTATTACAGTTATGTCACAATTAGAGGTCCCCTGCGGAAAAAGGTTATAGTGAGTCAAACTTAAAATATGAGTATATGCTATGGCGGTTTTTTTTAGAAATTATAAAAGAGAATATTTGTCATACATGACTTTAAATTTGAGCAGTACATGCAATTGAAGCTTACAATTGGAATATTTTTACCCGTTTTTGCAACATTTTCCTTCCTACTTGGACGTAGCGTGATGTCCAGAAAAAGTCATTTTGTATAAAAAAAAGCCTAAAACCTTATATTAAAATTTTAATCTAAGCTAAGAACAAAAACTATAGTCTTTATTTAAGTTCTTAACCAAAGCGAAGCGAGGGAGGTCACTAGTTAAAAATCCAAATCGAATTAGTAGTTTTTGAGATAAATGTCAAAAAAATCTGTTGTCAGCGAGCAAGTAGGTAAACTATGTAATGGGTTACAAAATTGTTTTCATTCCAGATACTAACGTTTACATTGGCGATTATCCTGATAACGTTTGCGGTGGACATCAGAGAGTCGACCGAGCTCCAAGTGAAGAGGGACGATGAGGTCACCATGTCTTCAGTGGTGTACACCATCGTGGTACTCATCGTGGTGCTGTTGTTCATCAAGTTTGTTCTCGACCTGGTCTTTGTGTACGCGGTTTATAAGGTGAGATTACCTTATGTATCTATTGTCGATATTCGAATACTAAAAGACTTTTCTTAAGTATTGTTTTAAATCCTTATGAAAACGCTTATTTTGAAATAAAAAAACTTTTTTTACCTGATAATGGCACTCTTTAACTTTATTACGTCCGTACGTATAGTAGTTATAGAAAATGTAAACGCGATGTTTGAGAAAATCTAAAATACCATGAAATTACCAGATAGGTTAAATGAGAAGGAAGACTATAATTTTCAGAATATATTGTTTTTACTTATTATAATAATAAAATATGGCTCCATCAGAATTCGAAACTAAGGCTTTTAATAAGAGCAGAAAATGAGTTCGCTGTCATTGTACCAAGACAGTGGTTGTTAATTTCCTGCATATTCAGCAAACAGTCTCTGAAAACTAAGCCTTAACATAAAAATCCAAAAATAGTTCTCACCTATGTTTATTGAAACCAAACAACCCGGGGCTACTGAAAGCCGAAGATGCTTTGATACTAATAAAACAAAATGTCCCCACTGCTGGGGCACAGGCCTTCTCTATGGATGGAATAGGGAGATTGGGCCATGACCCACCACGCAGGCACAGTGCGGATTGGTGGGTGCTAACGACTGCAGATGTAGCCGGGACCAACGGCTTAAGGTGCCTTCCGAAGCACGGAGGAGCTCGAGATAGTAATTTTTGGTCACCCATCCAGTGACCGATCACTGCGAAAGTTGCTTAAGTTCAACGATTGCAGCCGAACGCGTTAACCACTTGCGCCGTCGACCTCCTCAAGCTCGAGTTTCATGTGTGCTAGTCAATAAACTTATGAAGGTGCATAATTTTTCAGGAAAAGTGTGGCATAATGAAGAAGTATTGCATCTTCTGGATAGTGTTTCTGGTCCTCTTTATTATCGGATTTCTCAAGAGTCTCTTCCACATGGATGCAGGACATGTTATCGCGCAGATTCTGTTTTTAGGTAAGTCTTTTTATAACAACAAATAGTTATTAAAAATCCTTATTATTAGACAAAACTTGTAGGTACAATGTCTAAAAATGACCAGCAACAATAATAGTCACGGTTTACACACCAATATCTCGTTACATTGCTTGTTAACTGTTCATGTTCCTACAAAATTTTACTTTTATACCAGTTTTGTGTCAAAAGTAATTGTAGTTTACAAAGAATCAAGTTTTAACTACAATATTATTTATTACCACCCGTATTTTTTTTACCTATTTAAAGTAGACTTGCAACGAATATTCGGTTACTATTCGGTATTCGGCCTATTCGGCTGCTTTTATTATATTCGGCCGAGTATCTACATATTATTCGGCCGAATACCAAATACTTAAATAATATATTTTGTCATAGAGAAATAATTGGTAAAATGAAAAATTAAATTCGATTGATTACGTATATATTCATATTTTCATTTCTGTTATATATTGAATTATTTTCATAATCAAAATTTAGAAGGGGAAGGTTATGATGCAGAAAGACTAACTTTTCTGCATTTTTAGGAAGTAGTTGACTTCTATTTTTCTCGTAGACCATCCCAGCTTCAGAGAAAAGGCGCTCTGAATATACACTAGGTACTTCCTGGCGCCGACAAATATTTTACTGCAATCTTAATCAAACACGGAAATTCTTTCCTTGCTTGCTACCATGTATACGGGTTGTCATGACGTGACTAATATTTAAGAAAAGATCCATTTCTGTTGAAACTGCATTTTTTTCTGTTGATGTGTTTAAAGAAACTGTGCTTTTTTATGCTATCAGCTCTTCGAAGTAATCCATAAAAGTTGAGTGAATAGTCTGATTTAGACTTTATTTGGTAATTTCACACTATCATATTTAATAACTAAGAGAGCACAATAAACTGTAACGTAAACGTAATACGATATCCACGCAATGAACTTGTCGAAACATGCAGTGCGTTAGCAATATACCGCCCAGAACAACAGCGGGTCAATTATGCTTTAGTGATATAATCATAATGTGATTTCAATATGATGTTGATGCCAACTTGACATTGTTTTTAAATTGGTATTATGAAACATTCCTATGTCACATCAAGATCATATCAATATCATATCCTGTACCTATCACATTTTTGACGTTTATGCGATACTGTTTTAAGTCAAAAAGTTGAACGTAATACGCATTTAAGTTGATATCATTTTAAAGAGTTGATCATAATAGGTACGCATAAGTTGATGTCATTTTGATATCGCATTTTTCGGAGAGCATAATACGTAATGTGAAATTGACATCAAAACAATATCACAATTAGCGAGCATAATTGGCCTGCAGCGGACGCACGAGCGATGAGTAAGTACATTAGAACAAAATAAAGGAGCGCGAAACAATCACGTCTGTACAAGGTTTAAGCGCTAAAATCCAGCCGAATACTTTTGCCTCGAATATTCGGTATTCGGTATACTGCCGAATATACTATTCGTTGCAAGTCTAATTTAAAGTGATAATTAACATGCGAAATTGAATCTTCTTGTTTGTTTTATGCTTACCCGTCTAAACCGCTAAACTGATTTTGCTGATCTTTTGTATAGTGATATAGGTAATTAGACCTTGGAGGGCATACTTTTCGCTGTTAAAATAATATTGGAAGGAAGTAAAAGTTTGTGTTTCTATAATATCTAATAGCTTAATATGCCAAGCAGAGCGACGGAAAAAGTTATCATGGAATATGAGACAGTGCTATTCAGTAAGAAAAAACTTACTTTTGACCGCAGAATCCACGTACTATTTCCTATTTTTAGGGTTCCGTAGTCCTGAGAAGGAACCCCTATAGTTTCGTCATGTCCGTCAGCCCATCCCCGGTTTTGCATGGAGACTATTAGCACTAAAGAGCTGTAATTTTGTGGAGATACGTACGAGTATATCAATCACGCCGACAAATGGTAGAATAAAATTATGAATATATATATTTTTTAGGGAAGCTCCCCTACGTGTAACCTGGGGATGATTTTTTTTTACCATCTACCCCATTGTGTGGGACTTCGTTGAATTGGTCCTTTAAAATAACTTAGGTATTACTTACTTACTTCTTAGTGTATTTTCCGATCCGGGATCCGTTTGCGAAATAGGTATTGAACTTTAAAGTGCTAATTTTTGTTCGAGTAGGGCGTCCCCCCCCCTTCCCCCTCTTAAAGCTAAACTATTGGCTTGAAAAGATCATGATAATATTTCTTTACATAACCTTTAAGGAAAACTATCACGGTTAAAATAGATTTGTTAGTAATAGTCGTTCAACTTTGGTTAAAGAAAATTTCACACATATTGAAAATTCCTTAGAAGAAAACATTAATAGTGAAGTTATTGTAGCGTAATATGTTGCATTGCAATTAAATCTAAAAAAAAACTATGTATTTATACTTCAATAAAATATCATTAGTTCCACAACGCTACCGCGAGTAAACGGCTTTTGAGTCGCGCTAACGTTACGTTTTTATAAAAACTATAAAAGCACTTGAAAAGATCGTCAGTTATGTATACTGCATGATCTCCTTCTCTGTCTGTCAGTAAGAGTCTGACATAACCTTGCAGCCGGCTGTAGGGTATCCATGAGGATTTCACATCCGTTCCCTCGCCTGAGGGGAAACAAAAAAGAAATCGGCGCTTATCATAATGTATTTAAAAATCTAATAATATCAAATTGATTTTGACTTTGAGACGCAATTTGACTTTGATTTAAGTATTTTAGTTGAGATACATAGATTGATATTTATTTATTTTTTTATTTATGATATAGAAAATAGACTCTTGCTAAAATATTATTGTGGTAACTACAGTCAAGTACGGAACACGACACTACGCGTGGCACGACGTGCACTTGGCCGGTTATTTTATGTTAAAATGGTGACACATAAGCGTATGGCTCGCCTGATGGAACGTGGCCACCATAAACGTTTGCGATATCAAAAATTTCACTCACCTACCCCGTGGAGCCCTGAAATTCGTATAGTATTCTAATTTCAAATCACACCGGTGGATTCCGCGGTGTTCTAAGTGTCGCCGCACACGGGCCACACGCCACAGCCACAAACGCCGCCACGAGAAGCTAGAAGCTAGAAGCGGCTACTAAAGTGGCTGAAGCGCGCGATAGCGGCCGTCTAAGGTACGGGAGAGAGGGGTGGGGAATCGCGCGAGTGACGTGTGGCGGCGTTTTGTATGTATTAAGTGGCCGTTGTAGCGTGTAGCGGCCACCGGCGGCGCCGCGGCGTACCGTGTGTGGCGAGTCCATATATGAAATATATGAAAACTACAAGAAATATGCCGGTGGCGGCGTTATATGGTTGTGGTCGGTGGCCCGTGTGCGGCGACACTAAAGCGTTAATAAAATTATGTGGAATTTGATACAAGTGATATCAGATGACTATATTGAATTGGTAATTTGTTGTTTCAGCTGAAAATTTTTACTACATCATTGTGATCCGAAGCTACCTGATTTCAATTAACGAGGATGGTGTTTTGTAAGGATGTTATAATTATTAGTTATTGTCAAAATTTCATAAAAAAAACTCAGAACTTAATTTACTTAGGTATTACCTAATTATTTCTTAGGTACTGATTAATAATTTGTTCTTGGTGCCATGTGTTACTTAATTAAATAAGAAGTTACCAATAATGACATTTTATTTTGGTGTTTAAATTACAATTTATTACAATAAGTTACCTACGTTGGCAAGAACAGGCAAGCATGAAGTTAGTGTCTATAAAAAGGATTACTTACTGTCTTCTGTTTAAAAAATATATAATAAATATAAAAATGATATGTAGGTACACAAGTGTCATTGAAATAACACAAAAACTGAATATTTTGATTATCAAAGTGATAAGTAACATAACAAAAAGTTGATAAGAAATAAAATGGAAATAATTTTTAATGAAGTTCCTTCTATTCCTGCATTAATAAAAAGATGATTAAATAGACCAAATTATATAAAAAAATACGGTGTGTGATGTTTTGTGTCATTTAAATTACGCTTTGTCTACATATTTATAAGAAAGAAGCTATTAACAATAAATTTTAGCCAAAGAGTGTGTTCTAGTGGATCGTAAATCAAATATCCCGGATAGTATTTTGTATACTCGTATTAGCATATCGTGCAATAGTTTATTAGTAGTATAGTGCATTTATATCGGTGTTAACTATATTATAATGAATAATGTATTGAAAGGCTATAAAATAGTTTTGTTACATGTATTAATGTATAAACTAAGGGATTTACCAAATGACGGACAGTATTTTGAAAAAAATAGCTTTGAGGTTTTATTTAATTTTTAAAGTTATATTTTTCGGTGCAGTGGGATTAAATGATTTGGAATGTTGCAAGGACCAAAAAGGTGAGATTATACTGAGCTTTCGGATAGTTTGCATGACGATGGTCTGGATGATACTTAGAAATTGTTTATATGGGAAGAGAGTTTGGACCATACAGTGGAATTGTTACTTTCGATTACTGATCTTGTTTTTTGTATAAAAAGAAACAATATAAGCTACGCAAACATCTTAATGGCGTAATTTACATGAGAGGCGATTTCCGCCAAAAGGGCAAAATCGACTGTGTAATTAATTGGCTATTCGGTTAGGCCGGAAAGGCGAAGGCGAACATTACTGGGTTTCGACAAGGCAAAAAGTTAAGTTTCAAAATATTTATAGAATGTATTGTGTAATTATATATTTGCCTGAATTCTGGTTGTGAAATGATTTGCTTTGTTATCTGCAATACAATGAGTTTGTTATAGTAACCTATCAATTGGATGCATTTGTAAAAATATATAAATTAAATGAGAATAATTAATAGTTGTTGCTGTTATATAATTTATCATTAAATTAGGAATTTGTCTTCCATTAATTAGAGATAAGTAAACATCATGGTTTCTATTTATAGTATATAAATTAATTAATTTCCCATATTGTAATAACGCACATGAAAAAAGCGGCTCAATATTTAGGTCTTGAATGACCACCACCTGTAAAAAAACCAGCTACCTTAAACGATTAGAAGACTTTTTGTTTGAATTTTAACAAAATCTTGAAACACGTTTAGTACCTGTTCTTTATCAAAAAATAAATAAATATAAGAAAAATAAAACTCTTTAAGCAAAATAAAGACAGCATATCAAGGAAACGATTAATAGAGAATTTAACAATGCAAATAAAAGTAATCCAGATTGGTTATTATTTTCTCTCATTATGCATTTCTAAATTTCTTGGAGTTAAGGAGCTAGCAAGAAATAATCAGATTGAAGAAAAAAAGGCGGAGGCACTTTGTTCGTAATATAAGGCCAAGAATAAGTAAAGGCAAAATATTCATACAAATAAAAAAATGTCGTAGATCATAATAAAAGCAAATGAGAATAATCAACAATAAACATGAAATAATTATATGAAATGAAATGAAATTGCATTAGGAGGCGCTCTCTTGAGTTAATTCATCAAATTTAAGATGAGGGAAAGTAGACATCTGCACATGCCAGAATTTGTAGAAGAAGTTGCAAGAGAAATGAGAAGTCTGCAGTTAAGAAATTAGCAAACGGAGAATCTGTAGAATTTGTAGGATTGTTCTAAAAGCAATCCATACGAAATTACTTTAGACCGAATAATTCTATAATCTGTATTGAGTTTACGAAAAGCAGGATTTGATTTTTCGAATCGTTCTTGCGTATTAATTTTAAAGAAAAAGATCATGTGCATACACATGGTGGATAGAAGATAATAGTTTGTTAAGAATGTAGCAGTAGAGGTACTATGGCCATATTTTGAACTTGTAAAGGAGATTTAAGAAGCTCGGGGATCTGGATAGGAAATGAAGAATGGAAATAGTCAGGAAATCATATCAGGATATGATTTTTCTAAATTGTTTTGTTTTAGTATCCAATGAACTTTTAACCATACATTTAATATGTTTTATGAAGAGGGCATTCAGTCTTCAAATAAATTGTTTTATATGGGAGTTGACAAGTTGGGAACATTGAGTCGCTTCTATGTTCATTGTGTGATGAATTTGTTGATCGTGATTATTTAATATTAAAATGCTTCGAAATGATGTAACATGCATTACTGAAATGATTCTTCAATTATATTTACTAACAAAAATGCTAATCTTTATTAAGTATTTACTTCATTTTAATATACAGCGATTCGATTATTTTTATTATATAAGAATTTATAAGAACTTAAATTTATAAGAAATTTGTGTCATTTTACACAAGATTTTTAGATTCGTATTATGCATGCATTTAATTCGTTATATCGTTTGTGATATTTACCATCACCATACCATGCTCAGAGATGTTAGTTTACTTTAAATTATGTTTAAAGTAGTTGCTGTTACTTCACTTTATTTGCGATTACAACAGAATTAGACAACACCTAACTTTATGAAACATTAAATTTAACTAACGTCTCCGGTAGAGATAAACTTTTCTCATAATATTCGACTTCTAATTAAAAAGTTTTTATAAAAGTTTTTGGAAGTTCTACTTATGTAACCGTCTACATCAATGATGTTCGAGCGATTGTATCATATTATAATCATAATGATAATGAAAATTACTTAATTATGTCTGTCTTATAACAACGATTTTCCTAACATCGATGTAAATACTTATGTACTCGTACAATAGGTGAATTAGGCTGATGACTATGGATTTCTCAGAGGTCAAAGATAAATTAAAATATTTTTTGCATTGCTTAAGATAGTTTTGAATAAAGGTCAAATAAGTATATTTGACTTTTATTTTGGTCAACGGTTACTATATTATATTTATGGTCTATATTACCATGACATACGGAACCGGCAATAGATTAAATAACTAGCCAAACAGTTCAACGTTCAATGGTCACTCAGCCTAATTCTGCCTTGTTATCTGTGTGTCAAGTTCCGTAGGTACCAATGTTAAAAGAACGACAATAATACGTCCTTCGCTTTAATTAGTCATAGTGAACAGTGTATCATGTCCTCTTCTTTGAAGCAAATAGATATTACGACTATTTCAATACTTTTTCAATGTTTTGCTTTAGGCATGCGTCCGATATATCAAAACGAATCCAAAATCCGATTTCAAACACAAATCGATACCGAACGATTTCTCAACAAGAAAATCCGATTTCAGAAATCTAACCGAACCAAAACGCTAGCGATCTAATACCATAAGTATCCAAATGTAAATCGGATTCGAAATTCGTGCTTTCGTTTTCGGAAGTCAGATTTCGAGCTCGGAAGTCCGATTTCGATTTGCTGTTTACGGAAATCTATTGCTCTTCTCTGAGGCGGGATTATTTATCACTGAAAAGATATGTCGTCTAAAAACATCAAAAGTCGAGCAACTTACATTTTTGGACGCTAACCTGAAGTAATTAGGTTTGATTTTGTAAATGGTTTGAAAAATAATAAAAACAAACAGAAAAACAAAAAAAAATACTAAAAAAATATGTAAAAAGAAATCATTGTATATAAGTCGATTTTTAAATGCGCCGCAAAAGTTTTACTCTTAACCGTAAACATAACTTTTCTGCTAGTCCTAAGCGAAAATCTACGAGTATTCTTGCTTCCTACAATTAATTGTTTGTGATTGTCGTTAGCTAATAAAACCAAATCATAACACAAACTAGTGAATTGGCTAAGTTTGGCACATCTGAAATCGGATATCTAAAAACGGATTTTAAAATCGATTTTGAAATCTGAAATCCGATAAATATCCGTTTGCGTTCAAAACCAAAAACGCCCATGTCTATTTTGCTTTTTTAGAGCGGGCTTGGCTGAATGAGATAAGTTAAACATACAACAACTGTAAGTAATAAATATTTCGACGTAAAGTTGTTTTTGCTACTTTCAGATAAGCTAAGCATTTTGGAGAATCTATTATTTAACATTTTATAATATTTCAATGATAAAACTGTCAAACTCAAAATTGGATTCACGTGTGATTTAAACCTTCAACATGCAGGCCGGCAAGGTGTGGATGGGTGTTGTGGCAGATGGAACTGCTATTCCAGCTACTTTTACGTCTGGATTTCACCTTCACTTATCAACAACATCTAACATCTACATCACAGCTAACATCAGCGGGGCTGTACTGTAAAATTTTCGCGCGCGGATCCGATGCGGTTCTGCGCGAATCTATATGGGAAACGAGCGGATCCGCATTGGATCTGCGCGTGAAAATTTTACAGAATAGCCCCGCTGGTGAGGTGGAGTCATTTGTCGAACCTATCTATAAAAAAAAAATACCATTTTAGAATATTTCAATTTATGTCAAATACTTTATACCAATTCCGTAAATGTTTCATAGTTATGATATAATAAAATATATTTTAGGGTGAATTATGAGTGCCATGAAATCAAGATTATATACCTACATAATTATATATATCTGAGCAAGAGCATTATAGAGTTATATTTACATTTAACCTGGCTTAACTTATATGTATTTGGATATAAGTTACTATCCCAAGATATTTTATAAGTAATCATAGTCGAGTCCGTTCTGACTTCTCTATGTACTCTACTCTCTAAG